CTAGTTCCTCATGTTTAATAAGAATAAGAATAAATTATGCATAAAGTAGTGGTCTCTCTGGATTCTTGTTCTGATAAAACTAACTGTTGGTTCTCCATGTTTGATTATTTTAGTAAGTATAAATCTAAATGTTGGTTCTCTTTGTTTGCTTCTTGTTCCAGGTTGTTCAGTAGACATTAAGTTTGTCTGGCCAACCCAGTGATGCCAACCCTTTGGAGCATTAAGTTTGTTCTAGATTTGTAAACTAGCAGGTGTTTCTATAGATCTTATTCTGATATTAAAAGTATAATAAGACTTTAGACTTTAGTGTCTCTCAACAAGTTTTTTTATATTGAGGGTAAAAGTTTATCTTTGGATTCATCCATCCAGCTTCTTTCCGACATTCTCCTGATTATGAATAATCTACACTGAGTTGAACAGGACTCTGGAGCTCTACTTGAGTGACTTTAATGCTGCTTTAAAGAGCTCCTTCAGAGATGTTTATGTTCGCCATCACTACTCAGTTTATGAGCCGTACAGCTGCATGTGACTGGAACTGATAGTTATACACCTCTCAGTGATGCCCTGTAATTTCTCATTAGATCCAACAGACTCTGCGTCGCATGCTTGCCAAGTGAGTCGTGGGGGGCTCTCACCATGATGCTGGAAATTGCTTTTAATATACTATTAGAGGTCTGTCAGTCAAATGCGTACTATTTCACTTCTTTGAGAGCAGAAGTGAAGGGGACTCGGCGGCGGCGATGTTTCATTTTTCTTTTTCTCTTTCAGGTTAAGAGCCAGTTGACACCGGACATGAAATACAGCAGACTCAGAATATCCTCCACTTCACCTATGCAATAGGGAGTGTCAAACATTCCCACAGAGGCCGCGTTCCCGGTTTGAAGTGTTGACACCTGAAGTAGGTTGTCATGTCCTCACTACTCACTGCTTCTTATCGAGGACCTGCAGGCTGCATTTTCACTCAGCAGACCTCAGACCAGATCTGCTGTTTTCAGCTTCCAGAGAGACGATCTCTCGGTGTTTCTGTGCACTTTGAATGTGCAGAAGGATTTAATTCATCTTCACCGGCTAGGCGAGCTGCAGTGAGTGTCTTAAAGGTGGCCATGCTTCCTTGAACAGCTTAGGATTGGTCTATGAGCTTTTTTTTTTTTTTTTTTTTTTTACAAAATTATTCTTGGATAAAACATTTTTCGGTCTGATCCGTTCTGGCCATTATAACTCCTTTCAGAATGAGCTGTTTTAGAGCCTCTGTTATTTTAAATTGAACTTTGCTACTGCTGGCCATCCTCCCCAATATCAATGTTTACACTCGCACATAAAATTTGCTGCAAGCAACTTAAAAAGCATAAGTGGAACCTCTTGCACATCCAACAACAATGCATTAAGTGGTTACAGGATGATAAAGCAACGACAAAACCTTCAAAATGTTTATTCGCCATCATAGGTGGCTATGCTAACTTGCTTAGCATTCATGACAAGCTCTGCTGATGGTGGGATTGATTGACAGCATTAAGCTCCGCCTCCTGGCTCTGATTGGCTGTTTCTAGTTAGCACTGGAAGAAAGCAGAGGAGTTCATTGTAGTCACATATTATCTGTCTCATACTGTCAGAAAATAGTGACAGTTTCAACAAATTCTTTACAAACTGTCATTTTATTTTATTTTATAAAAGCTACATACGGCAGCTTTAATTAAAAAAAAAGGAACTATATGAAAATCAAACTTGAACCAATATTTCATGCACTGTACAAGATCTCTAACCTGGTGAGATAAAAATATTCACATTGGTTCAGATCAGAGAAACAGAAATCAGCTCACAGTGATGTCCTCCTTTCAACTGCAACAATAACTGGTTTCCTGCCAGAGAGCCCAGTGAGCTGACATTCCCACCAACGCCTCCTGGCATATCAAGAAGCCGGTGGTAATTTCTAACTCGGTTAATAATAGAAGAGGAAGTGATCTGATCCCGAACTCTCAGATCCGAGCTTCATCTTTTTCATGTCAGCCCCCAACCCCCTCAGGTTCAGCCCTCAGTTAATGTTGCTTCTTGCTGTACACTCATCATATAATCATTGTGAAACTCTGGGGGATTCACAGTGTAGATGGTTGGCAGAACATTTAGAAAACACTGAGAGTGCACGTCATTAAAATCATATTTTCTCTCAAGCAGCAAATCCGAATTTAGGCGGGGATATTCAGAGCTACTGCTGATGTTGATTTCTGTCGTTTAGATCTGGCTCTGGGACAGATGTGATGATGCCAAATAGGACGAGAAAATCTGCATCAAACAGAAAATTTATATATCTTTTTCTACATTTATATGTGATTTATTTGGGTGAGTGAACTGGAGAAAGCTGCACTATCTAACTTTTATAAAAAAATATATATATATGTTTTTTTTTTAACATAATTTCTGAAACTATCACTACATAATGTGTGTTATGAGATAGATAATCTGCTCCTCTGCCTTCTACCAGTGTGCTCAATGTTAATTAGAAACAAGCAATCAGACCCAGGAGGCGGGTCATCAACCCTCCCTCACTTCCTCTCTGCTACAACAGCTAGGATAACTGTAGCTATTGTAGCTACTGTTATGCTAGCGACAATAGCTAGCATAACTGCAATAGCTAGCTGTTATGCTGATTATTGCAGCATAACTGCAATATTAGTTGTTCAATCTCCAAACACATGCTGGTATTTGGAGACCAAACATCCGAGACTGACAATGATAAGGCTCGTAAGCATAGCATTGTTAATGCTAAGGCTAGTAAGCATAGCATTGTTAATGCTAAGGCTAGTAAGCATAGCATTGTTAATGCTAAGGCTAGTAAGCATAACATTGTTAATGCTAAGGCTAGTAAGCATAGCATTGTTAATGCTAAGGCTAGCTAGCATGGCATGAAAGGACAGCAGATAAATGGCTTTCCAGCTTTCTAGTAAGGGTGTGTTGTTTCTCTGCATTAGCGCATTTAGTACTCAGTACATATTGATTGACAGTGCTAAGACCCTCTCTGTGACTGATTGGTTGTTTCTGGTTGGAAGCAATGGATTTCTTCAGATTGCAATAGTTGCTCAGGAAGAAGATTATCTGTCTCATAACAAACTGTCACTAACAAATATTATTTATAAAAGTGACATACTAAAGATAACAACACATAATCACAAAAATAAACTGGAAATGTCTCAGATTCTTAAAAGTGATTAATACATAGAGTTTGTAGCACCAGTGGAGCAGGAATTATAATATATATCAGTCATTCTCTGTCTTCCCCAAACTCACCTATGTATGAAATATTCAGACCGGCCTCTCTGAGATCACAGAGATTAGGACAGATTAGATTAAATCCATTATAATTTGATGTTAGCTCCTGGGTTTTAATGACCATGTTGATAAGAGGCTCGCTGCTGTTAAATTATGATCTCAATCGTGGCAGCACAGCGCCATCATCTGGATGATGGAGTACCTGCACAGACATTCCTGGTATCTTGGTATAAATTGAAAAAAAAAAAGAATATTCTTTTAAAAATTCAATTAATTGATAAGAACTATTTATTACCCAACCCTATGTTATTCATTCAACACCTGTACTTTTTCATATTTTCCTTTGTGTTAGATTTTTATCCACCTTTCTTTCATATTTACTTTTCAAAAGTAAAATTCTTAATGCCGCTTGCTTAGGTTTTGCCAAATTCATTATTAACAAACATTAACACTGCAGATGCTCCTGTAGAAGAAGCGTTACAGGGCAATTTATAAATTGTTTTATGCATGAAATAACCAATTTTTTTTTTTTTGTGATATTAAAAGGTTTTATTGGAGGTGTTTATGCTCTCCACAGAATATGTGGAGAACACAGAATACACCATAGACTGTACAGCCTTTATGCTTAGATTTTTACATTTAATCTACATTTATTATTATCTTCCTTACTATTTGCTTGTCCAGCATGGTGACAAGTAATAGGAAGGGCATCATATTTATAACACAAAAAAAAAACAGGAAGACATTCTTTTCTACTTTGAAGCTGAACATATGAATTCATAACAATAAAAGTTAAATCACACATTAAGAAAATGCAGCTATTTCAGGGTGTTGGTTATAATTTTATTGAAATGTTTATGTGCCATTCATTTCCATCTTTTTCCTGCAGGTTTAGACATTTTCCACATATTTTAAGACATATTCACCAAATAATGAGGTAAATCTTGTCAGATTAAGAATAACAATGGAAGCACTTGTTGCAAAAGATCCTCTCTAAGCCTAAACCTAATTTCTGTTGGCTGACAGTCAGGTGACTCAGATTTAAAACTGCAGGAATCCTCATGCATAATGGTGTCTGGTTCACTACAAACAGCACAGGGTTTCCATACAAAAGCTGCAGACTATTTTGAATTTTTAAGACAAAAATATCACATCATTTTATCTTGATAAAGCCAATTTATTGCTTCAGTATAATTTGTGATTAATAAAACACTGCAGTAAAATTACTCATAAGTAATTTTTTCTTATAAAGTTACTCAAGTAAATGCAACAAAATATAACAGCAAAACTTTGAATTTGAAGAAAGTAACAAAAAATAAACATCCATCTATCTTCTAGTTTTGGCATTTAATAAATAAAAATTATTTAGGGAATTATGGCCTAAAATCAAGATTATGCCTGTGTTTTTAATGCATTAAGTATTTGGTTGCAACTATAGTGTTACAAAACCATCATGTCAATGAAGACTACTCTGATCAAAACTACAAATACAGTTTGGGAGAAAGTTATATTCATTTCCTAGTATTTTTAAGAGAAGTTTAGTATTTATGTGTTTAATAAAAATACCAGATGAGAATACTGAATGCTATATAAATAAACAAACAAATAAATAAAGCTGATACATCAAATAATATTAAAAAATGGATTGGGAAATGTCAACAATACTTTTCATCATGCTTGAAAATGTGGCCAGACATTCACCAATCAGAGGCTCTGATGCTGTTGATCTGACCAATCAGGAGAGGTGAGGGGCGTTTCCGGCCTCATTCCGGTCCGCTTCGTGAACCACAACAAACACGGAGGATTTACAGCGGATGGTTCAGATAAGACGCATTTAAGGTAAGACCCTAAGTTTGAAGAAAAAAACAAAAACAATCACCTGTGTAGTTTTTCCACTTATTTATATTTAACGGTTTGGATTAGAGGCTAGTCTCGCGCGTCGTCGAGCAAATATTTTAGTCGTGAGATATAAATTTGAGCGTCATATTAACGCCTCCAAAGAATACTCTCTCTTCTAAATGTGGAGGAATAAATTAAATAACATAAAAATCCCGTTTAGCGTCGAGATTAAACGAAGCCGAGCTATTCTGTTGTTATTCCCCGGCTGGTCGATGCGTTGTGTTCGCGGTTAGCTCCAGAGGAAGCAACATGGCGGAGGCCTGGTTTGTTTTAAAATTCAACCCGCAAGCAGACAAACCACAGCCTGTTTTCACCTCTCAGTATCACATATGTTGGGTTGAAATTGGTTAAAACTCTCAGTTAACGAGCTCGACGGAGGTTGGTGTGGCCTAGAAATCAGCAGGCCACGACAGACTAAACCTATTAAACTGTTACGTGGAATGAGCCGTGGATTTCCAACCACATTTTAACCAAAATAACCAAAGGGCGCTTCTGGCAAAGTTTGTAAAGGCACACCAAAATCAAAAACTGCATCATAATTGTGCACGTTTTCTGCAGCAATCCTCATGCATAATGTCTGGTTCATTGCAAATAGCACAGGGTTTTCATACACAAACTGCGGACTATTTCGGATTTTCAAGACAAAAATATCACATATTTTTTTTTCTTGATAAAGCCAATTTGTTGCTTCAATATATCTGTAATTGATACCAGACACATCTGTATTCCTATTTTTCCCATCTTTATATTAACAATTTATTGCATTTAGTGGGAATTATTCAGTTATGTTTAATAATAGCACACCAAAATCAAAAACTGCATCAGAATTTTACTAGTTTTAGTGAGAAAGGTTGTTATGGTGGATGAAATTAGAAATATTTATATCCTCCTTGTCCCTTGTAAACTTATGTTTAAACTGGCTCTGTATAAAAGCATAAACTAATTTTAAAACATAGATATTTAGCCCACTTAATAATTTTAATAGCCTCCTTCTCCTGATGCTGCAGAATTAAATTTTTTTTCCTACATGTGTTAAAACTGCCATCATATCATGTCAGTATGTTGTGAAATCATTTAGCTGTCTGAAGAAATGCAGCACAATCAAGTCATCACAACCAATTAGAGCCAGGAGGAGAGTCTCAAAGCTCTCAATCAACCTAATGTATTCGCTGCTAAATGTGCTATTGGTGAAGAAACAACTTACTTCTTCAGGAAAACTGTTTATTTGTTGATACCGAGCCTGGTAGACTGCTGGCTGCAGCGCCACAGGAGGATTATTGACAGCGCTAAGCCCCTCCTCCTGGCTCTGATTGGTTGTTTTTAAATAGCACTGGAAGAAGGCAGTGTGAGTTTTCTGTTTTTCCACAGATTCTGTATTATACTCTCACAACAGTGATAATTTCAGCAAATGCTTAAAAATGATTTTTATAAATTTATTTTCAGCAGTTTTAAGTGCTGACAGTTGAAAACTAAAGTTTACATATATTGAATAAAAAGTTGCACACCTTTTAAACTTGAAGTCAGAACAATTTTCTCTTATTTCAGCCCAGATTTACAAAGATGATTTCTTTTTGCTAAAGGCTCAAAAATAAGAGAGAAAGAAAATAGCGTTCAATAAATTAGAATATTGAAATAAGTTTAAGTTTGCTGTTAATTATGGTGGCTTTCCATTTACGCATATTAAAAATATTTAAAATGGTAATATGACATTAGACCAATAAAAAAAACTTGATTTAAAAGTATGTTTATAATACCTGCATAAATGTTATTTTCAAAAGCCAGTTTTAATACGAAAAATGAGTTACATTCTAAATTATTGAATATAATTTTATATATATTTCATGCTTTTAGAATGAGAGGTTGTATTTGAACTCTTTGACTTGGTTCAAATTTGTTGATTTTCATTCAACTGCTAGAGTTACGACCCATTCCTCCTGACAGAACCGGTTTAACCGAGTTGAGTCATTTCTGCCCACAACTTCTCTATAGGATTAAGATTAGGGCTTTGTCATGGCCAAGCCCAAATATTAAACATACCAAGCTCATTTCATGAGGACATTTCAGCAGTTCAAAGTGCTTTACATGGTAAACATTTAATACAACGTACAAAGAAGAAAGAAACATTGCATTACAATGCGGGAAAAGCCCAGATTATGCAAATTTTGCACAAATTGAACCTTGTCTTCTTTCTTTGTATCACAAAAAAATGCCTTTTTTAAATCTAGTTAGATTTTAAATATTTTTATAATTGACTGTTTGCACATACTTTCCTAATGATGCAAAATATGATTCTAATATAAATCAATTTATAAATAAAAGCTTGCAAATATACATGTGAGGTTAGAAAAGTCAAAGATGAACTGCTGAACTGTTAGAGCAAATATGACAGCTTAAAAAAGTGCTCTGTCTACAAAACTTTACATTTAAATTGATTGAATTGAACAGTTTATGCTGTTGTTATTCACAACAAATGATATCTAAAGAAACTTTACAAGAAAAAGCGTCTAAGGCATATTATTTACATATATAAAAATAAATATACTGGTCAAGACAACAAGCTTTGAGGACAGGAGGGAAATTCAGATTTAATTGCACGCAGCCCCATTTCAACCCTAATAACATAAAACTAAGGAAATTCAGCTAATAGGTTCATGTTCTATAGTGATCAAGCATGTGGCAGCAGTGGACAGAAACAACTTCCTTTTAACAGGAAGACAGATCTTGTGATATAAAGACATAAACCACAGATAGATTGGTCTTACACTACTTTCACTTGTGTGTTGTGAAATATAGCCAGACATTTATACTTTGAGCTCATATTTTCAAAAAATACTGATCCAGAATTTTTTTAAACCATTTTTTTCAGCTTTTTGGTTTTTTTCTAACATTTCTGTCATGAACTTTAATATTTACCAGGCTAACTGAGGCTGAAATTGAGCTTCAGTTTGTTCAACATGATTTCCTGGGACTTGCTGTTGAACAGTTAATGAAGTGCATTTTATTAGCAACACCTGGCTAGGTTTTCTGTTTTTTTCCCCATCTCCTGAACCTGGTAGAGCCAGTTTTGTTCTTATCTAATGCAGGTTGACGGTGTGGAAACTGCTGTTTTGTACATTCATGGTTACATTTAAAGAAGTCCTGGAAAAAAGGAGTGGGCTCTTCTTTTCACAGTGACGTCAAATTTAATTATGCAAATCGTGTCATTCAAAAACTAGAAAATACTGCTTCAGACTTGCCCTCATTGTGTGAATATGTTAAAAACATATGAAGCAGAAACATTTGTAGTCATTAATGAGTCTCTGTCAATGAAGACTAACTGATTTTGACTCAGGAGTTAATTTTGTGGCACTGTGATGAATTCACCTAAGAAATTGTCTGTTAAACTTTTGCTTTTGTGTTGGAAACTAAAACATATTGATGAAACCAGCTGGGATGTAAATGTTGAGAAAATGTGTACCCACCAACAAAGCCTACTATTGACAAAGGACAGTTTTAAAGCTATTTAAGAAATAATTATGCCTATTAACTAGTTAGCTGCAAAATAACAAAAGTATTAGTGCATCCAATAAATATTTGATTTACTAATAAGCTTAGTGTTTGGTGTCACAAAGAATCATTTCATTTGCACCAGCTGCAGCTTGTTATCCTGGGAAAAAATTTTGTGGAATCGGTCCAAGTTTCAATTTCACATCCAAATGGTTCCCTGGCACGTTGCTAGTCAACCGTCACGCTCCTCTGTCTCACTTACTCTCACTCTGTGTTATCTTTTCTGTTTTCAGCAGCAGCCATGGGCAAGGCCCAGTCACACTTGGCCAAAAACAAAGACGAGAGTCAAGACGCGCTGACGGCTGCTGGCGAGTTCAGAGACGGTCAAACGCAGGACGATGAGAAGCATGGAGACGTGTCTCAGTTCCCGTACGTGGAGTTCACTGGCCGGGACAGTGTCACGTGCCCGACATGCCAGGGTACTGGCAGAATCCCACGAGGTAAATGCTTCACTTCATACAAGGCTTGATTGTTTAGCAAGAAGGTCCTGACCAGCTACTGTGTAATTATGTAATGCAAAGTTTTGGTGTCTGCAGAGAAAATCTAGGATTGTTAAACATCTAAGATTTACAAGCTTGACTAAACATGTAAAAAATTTTGGCAAAAATTATTAATTGTGATTGATTTTTTAAATCATGAACTAATTTAGTAATTGATAAATTGTTAACTGGACTATACAGAAAAAGGGCCATTTCGCTAAAAGAACAATTATGTCAGTAATTAAACCAAAACTGTATAAAAAAATATAGAAATTGAGAGTTTAGTCACAAAACAAATATTATAATTTATCAATAATTTTTTGAGCAAATTCATCATCCAGCAAAATTTGCCACAGTGGCAGAAATATTCTAAATATAATGTTAAAAAAAAAGTCACTCCGAGCATAAAGCATAAATGTAGAAAGAATAGAGCTGTTGTGATAGATCGGCACATTGTCACAGATATCTAGAAATGTTTAAAATACCGGGGCCTATGCAGATATTATTACACTGAAACATTTAGCATTAAGTTCTGTTTACTGTAAAATGTTATCTTGTTTCTTACTCAGTATGCTGCAGGACTCTGAGCTGTTTTGTTTTTCTAACAGGTCAGGAGAATCAACTTGTGGCTCTGATTCCATACAGTGATCAAAGGCTGCGGCCAAGCAGGACGTAAGTCTGCACTCACCCCGTTTTATGGATTAGCTGTTTTAGTTTTCCGTCTGATAAAATGAAACGATTCAGCAACCACAGTAGAAAGTGGTGGAAAACCATCAGCTGGTTTCAGGTGCTCACTTCTTGTTTTCTTTCTTCCCCAGGAAGCTTTATGTCACCATATCTGTGGCTCTCTGCCTCCTGCTGTCCTGCCTCGCGGTTTTCTTCCTCTTCCCGCGGTCCATCGACGTCACGTACGTTGGAGTCAAGTCTGCCTATGTTTCCTATAATCAGGAGCAGCGAATTGTCTATCTCACCATTACAGTAAGAATTAACCTAATTTATTTTTGTCATTTTTAGCATTTCCATGAACGATGCAAGGCCTGTCAGAATAACAAATTTTGCTGGGCGGTAAATTGGCCCAGAAGTTATTGCAATAAATATTGTTGTTTTGAGACCATTTTCAAGCAATATCACCTTAAAAATACAAACTCTTACCAAGCAATTTTGGCCAAGTTTTATTGCAAATATCTTAGTTCACATGAAATAAAACAAAACTAACTCACAAGTAGCTTCACAGCAAAAAACAGGAGCTGATTTTAAGTAAAATATTTATTAATATTGATTAAAAATTACTAGCTCCACTTGTAACAAGACATCTTTCCCATGTTATAAGTTAAATGATCTGCCAGTGCAAGTAATACTTCCTAAACAATTATAAACAAGCTACTACATCGTCCTGAAAAGAAGCTTCTGAGTTAGTTGTCTTATTTTAAGTGTACTAAAACATTTCCACTAGTAACTAGACCAAAACTACTTGGTAAGATTTTGTTTTTGCAGTGATATTGATAATGTCATAATAATGCAAAAACAAATTCTCAAAGGTCAGTAAACTTTAAATTCTGATGAACTTTTAAAACTGGAGATGAAAGAAAATTTAAATATAAAAATAAATGAAAAAACAAACAAATAAAATTAAGTATGATGTCTCTGTAAACAAAGTTGTCCTTCAAGAAAAGGCTAGTTGAGACCAAAGCACCAGACTGAAGACTTTTATCATACAGTTTTTGGTAAAAAAAAATAGAGAAACTATAGAGTTTGTTTTAATTTATCATGCATTTGTTTGACTTATCAGTTGTTACAACAGGCCTACACAGCACAAAAATAGAAAAACAAGCACTGCTAACTAAAGAAGCTAAGGTTAAAACAGAATGAATCCATATATTTGTTATAGTTGTTAGACTGAAACCAAACCTTTCATTTTAAACATGGTTAGGTTTATGTGTCATGAATTAGACACTGAGGTAATTTATGTGTACTGTTAACTCTGACAGAAAACAGTTGTCCATATATGGTCTTTCCTCTTTCAGAAATGGGTTTCCAGGGTTTGCCCCAGTGTATGATAAGCCTGGCGGGCCACCAGGTTTACTTGTGTCTCCATCGGGCTCAGCAGTGCTCTTTTTTTTTTTTTTTAATGTTTGCATTTTTTAAGACTTTATAATTGGTGATAAGGTATTAACCTTCCAATTTTTTAATAACATAAATATTTACTGATATTTTCAAATTTTAACTCAAAAACATGTTGGGCCACAGGATGAATGACTGTCCTAGTGCCCAACTGCCAACTCACCGAGTTTTCTGGGGGAAACCTTGGCTTTCCTTTTGTCAAAATGCTCACCACAGCGGATTAAAATGTCCAAATAGCCTAGTGATGTGTAATAAATTCAATCAAAGTTGGCTTTTTAAATGTTCGTACGAATTTTGTGTAAGAATAATTTTATTTCCACTTGAATCTCTCCCCAACAGAACACTCTGAACATCACTAATAACAACTACTACGCCATATCTGTGACCAACATAACGGCACAGGTGCAGTTCTCCAAGACGGTGATTGGGAAAACCAAAATCAACAACACGACGGTGATTATGCCTCTGGATGAGCAGCAGGTAGGCCCAACACCAATAACTACACTGGTCAATGGAAACAGCTTTTAAGAGATGAAGTAGCAGTCACCTGCTTTAAGCTGAAGCAACTGCAGTGAAGAAAATCCAATCAAATGTACAATGATAAAAAAGTTCTGGATAAATTGACTTATAAAATGGGGAAAATGTCTTTGCAAACTAGTCCTTTTTCATCAATGTCATGGAATTATGTACGTGAAAAAGCTCTCGTATTTCGCTCAAAAGTTGCTCATAAGTTTGTTTTGTTTTATTTCAAGTGTACTGAGATATTTCTGCTAGAAAGCAGAAATAAAAAATGGTAAGACATTGTGTTTTTGCAGTGCAGGCCGAGTCTGAAAAGTTCTTAAACTACTTTTTAAAGCATCTCAAATGATTCTGCCCTCAAAATTAGAGATGCACTAATTGGATGTTAATGTTTGTATTGGTTCTGATATTGAAAAAATTTGTACTTCGGGTATTGTGACAGTCCATTAGAGCAGATCCATTCAGTGTAATTCTATGCTGAAACGATGTCAAGCTTTATTGTTTATCTTGCATCATATTGAGGATTCCTAACTGCACTTTCTGAGGCATTTCAGAGAATTTGTTGAAGTTTATTTTTACATTGCTTTTCCCAGCTTCAGTTTCTTCATTATTTATTTTTGATTGGGTGTTTTACTCCTAACTGAACAAATTAATGTTGTTTTTTACATGTTTAGTCAAGCTTGTGAAGTTACTGATGTTTAATTGTTCTCTAAATGTCTTATTTTGCAGCTTGACTACACTGTTCCCACAACCATCGCTGATGAGATGAGCTACATGTTGTGAGTATCCAGGTTTTCTTAAATATTAGTAAATTCTTTATATGTTTCATACTAAGTTGTTTTTTCTGTCCTTTAGTGATTACTGCACCTTACCAACTATAAAAGTCCACAACATAGTGGTCATGATGCAGTGAGTATGGCTTTAAATTTGAAGTTCTTGTAACAGTGAGGGATTTGTTTGAGCCTCATTAGTCGTGAATATTTTCCTGTTCCACGCTCACATTGTTGCACCCACACATGTTGAAGAACCGCCTGGAGCCGAAGCAGCCCAAGACTTCTGCTTCCTCCTCCATTCATCATCTTTATCAAAGCAAGCGTTTCTCCAGAGCTTAATTAGCTCACCTAATTTTATTTGCTCAAAGTCATGAAGCAGGTCTCTATCTTAATATGATCACCCTGAAGTGCAGAAGCAGAGAAACTGCGGCTGCTTTTCATTAGATTTGCAGCTAAACCTTGAAACATTTCATTTATCCATTTTTTTATGTGATTTTTATGGCAAGGACAAAAAATGGAAAACTATTGTATTTAGATGTGAAAGATGTGGAATTAGAATTTATCACTACATTTTGTAACACTTTTATGATAGTGATATATATTTTTAAATGATTCCATGACACAGTATTCAGAGGTCCACAAATATAAATACTGCTCTTGCTACTTTATCGGCTTCTTTAGAACACCAGTCACATAACGAAGTGTGATTTTTATATCACTAAACTACGATGGCATATTTGGGCAGTTTTAGATAGAACAAAGAGGAGTACATTTTTATCAAAAAATTCTGAAATGGAGCTGGAAAAATTCTGAAAATTTTTGGGGGAATTTCTGAGTTGAATAGTTAAAAATTTGCTAAACATTTTTTTAAGAATCTGAAATTTTGAGATTTTCAGAAATAAAAAAATGCAGACATTTCTTAATTTGAAGTCAGAAGTTTGCTAAAAAGAAAAAAAACCCTTTAGATTAATTCCAGAATTTTCTGAGAAAAAATTTATAAAATTCTGAATTTGAACAGTTGAAAATTTGCTGCAAAATAAATTCTGAAATTTTGAGATTGATTTCAGAAATCTACAGGGAAGTGACATTTCTGAGTTTGTGTGAAATTTGCTAAAAGAAAATCAAAAATTTTGAGATTGATCTCAGAAATATTTGAGTTAAAAACTTGGACATTTCTGAGTTTGAAAAGTAAAGAAAATGTTTTAATTTTGAGATTAATGTCAGGAATTTGCTAGAAAAAAACTGATGTAAAAAAATTACTGAACAATAAACAAAAATTACAATAAAAATTTAATAGGATTCAATGCTATTTTATTTTTTGCTACCTTCTCAGCCTCCTACAGCTCCCCCTAGTGGCCGACCACTGAAAAAACCACTGCATTGAGGCTAAACTTGAAAACCAGTCAGTGAGGAGTTGTGCATAAATCACTCAGTGTTTTGTTTTTGTTTCAGGGTCACGGTAACGACGTCGTACTTCGGTCACGCGGAGCAGGTCTCTCAGGAAATGTACCAGTACGTGGACTGTGGCGGGAACACGACCTCCATGCACGGCCATGTTCAGGTCTACCAGTAGGAAGGAAAAAGTGTAAACTCCTTTCTTAGTGAAGATAGTTTCTCCTAAAATACTCATCGGGCCCAAAACGCCGGCCTCCTTCACTGTATTTTGTGCTTTGAAATTTGACGTTTTCCCTTTTCAGACTGCAGAGTTCCTCACTGCAAAAACACAAAACATTACCAAGTTTTGCTGCTCTGGTTTCCAGTTCAAATATCTTGGTAGACAAAATTAGCTTACAAGCAACTTTTCAGAAAGACATAGGAGCTTTTTTTATTTTAAAGTCAATAATTCCTTCTTACTGTGCCGTTACCTAGCAACCCGAGCCTTGCTGAGCCCGTTGCCTAGCAACCCGAGCCTTGGTGAGCCCGTTGCCTAGCAACCCAGCATTAGTTCCACTGGCAGGTTGTTTCACTTTAAAGTAAAATAATCTAGCACTTTTTCCATCAATATTAAGGACTAATTTACTTAAAATAAACTCCCATATCTTCCTAAAAAGTTACGTGTAAGTGAGTTTTGTCTTATTTTGAGTGAGCTAAGATATTTGCACTAGAATTTAGACCAAAAATCACGGGGTAATATTTAGTTTTTGCAGTGTTCCTCCACATTAAACCTGTTGGAATGCAATAGATTCGATGCACTTTAGAGCGTTTTAGTGGAAGCTGGATTGTTACAAACCTCTTTCCTCCGTCAGTAAACTGAGACAGAAAACCACTGGACTACATTTCCACCCATACATAACCTTTTTTTATTATTTTATTTCCGTTATGGTCCTTTGATGTAAATTAGTGCAATATTAACAACGGCTATCTCGTGTCACTTTTTCTTTTCTTTCTATTATCATCAACTACAAATGTGAAAAGTTTTAAAGGAAACTAATTTTATCTAGTGATTTAAAAAAAAAGTGTGTAAAAGGGAAAATGTTGTTTTGGTCCAAATAAATAAAGGCTAAAAATACAGGAATGTGCAAATGTACTCTCTGTCTGGGTTGTTTTAATAAAAATGTAACTTAAATCAACTTTATTCCAACGTAACGGGAGCTTTGTACAGTTTGCTTTTCTTTTTTTATCCACTCTGCACTGTGCAACTTTAATACTCAATCATGAGTTCATCTCCTGTTTGTTGTTCCCCTTTTTACTTTAATCCATTTAATGTGTTCTGAAACTATTAGTTTTTCCAACCCAACTAAGTTTTTCAGTCTAACTTTATTAATAATCATCCAGGTTGATTATTGTTGAAACCTTAATGTGACTTTTCCTACCATTTTTACACTAAGCGCCGTCGTTATTATCGTAACAGTATAGATGTGCATAGTTTTTAACATCAGCAGTTTGTTTTTTGTGGCTTTTGATGCATGAAGTGGAAAATAAAATTATAAGTCGATTCTGTAAGTTTCTGTGTTTCTGTTGGGGAAACTGTTAGTTTTCCTTGCTGCCACTGGGTGGCGCCAAGACCATGTTGCTTTATTAAAGAAAGAGATTCATTTTAGTGAACATTGAATCCTGTTAAAGTGCCAGATTTAATCAGTTATTTAAATTATGGTGTTTCTGGAGTACAATGAAATGTTTACACATCTTGATAAATGTTCATAATTCGACACAGTACATTCAAAACTATTGACGTTTGCATTGATACTGTACAAATTGCCAAAGAAAACCTTGCAATAAGGCCTTTTTAAAACACATATATATGACTAGACTTACAAAAATGATTTTATCCTGGATAATCTGAGCACACAAATGCTGTATGGAGGTAAAGAAGTGAAATACTTTTCTAGTCTAAAGTGGTTTTTATCCTACAGATAAAACTTAACGGGATAAACCTGCAGATAAAAACCTCGTTAGTAAAAGAACAGCAGCTAAACAACCAATGGTGCATCAAAAATATTCTTACTGAAAAATGTCTGGGCCAGTAAATGTTCTATGACAGCGTATTGGGGTCATTGTAGATTTAAAAATTCTGCCAAAATATGTTATAAATACATGCAAGAAAATGTCTGAGCTTGAAAAGTTTCACATTTTCTACAAAAAAATTATTTTTTAGAGTAATTATAGAAATTTTCTAGAAAAACAGGGACATTTTTGTTTAAAAAATGTTACATTTTCAACTAGAAACTCAAATTTTCAAATCAAACATTTTTTCTAACAAATTTTATTTTCTGTACACAATTTCTGAGATTAAAAACAAAAACTTTCTTACCTTTCAGACTGGGAGACTTATTCAATTTCTCTAGACAAAAAATCTGAAAATCTGTTTTTTAAGCAAATTTTCAACTTTTCTTTCTCAGAAATGGCCTTGTTTTTGTTTTTTAATAGAAAATTTCTAGGATTAATCTGAACATTTCTGAGTTTTTTTGTTTTGGCTGAATTTTTATTTATTTTTTATCTTCAGTAGATTTTGTATTTAATGTCCATGTCTGAACACTATTTTAGTATTTCCACTAAAATAGTGCCAGTGTATTAAATACACTCAGTCTTTTGTAGCTTTCTAAAACGTGGGTCCTGTTATGCTCACATCTGCTCAAACCATCAAAACACCAGTTAGCTTTCTGTCTTTTCCTGTAAGAGGTCAGACCCAAAGCAACAACAGAGCAAATGTGTCAAACTAACTATACGGAGAGAAATTATACACGTTTCAGGGTGAAATTACTCTTTTATTCTGCTTTACGTTGCATTTTGTTCCCTCCATGTGGTGAAGTTTTGAAGATACATGAAGTTTGTTTATATAAATTATTTTCTCAATAAAGCGTATTCCTCAGCATCACAATAACTATAATAACAGAAGAATCATTTTCCTCTAGGATCCATTTAAACGTGTTAAAACTTTCCGGAGAGTTTGTAGCTAACGAGCCAAAGTGGCTTCCGGAGCAGACGGCTACATCCTCTCACGTCTGTTGTTGTCATTAAAGCAAACCTTCCTCCATAGTTCATATATATGTCCAGCATTTTTCTTTAACAAGCTGAAAGGAAATGGCTTTTCCACATGTGCTCTCTCAGTAATGTTTTGTTGGAAATCCACACAGGTGCCCTCTGTCTGAAACTAGCAACTCTGAATTTGAAGTTAAAGTTTATTTGAGGGCTGATCCAACCAAGTGATAAAATATCAGATTTTATCAATCTACTGGCAAGTTTTTAAACAGGAAATGTGTTTTTTTTTCTGTTCCCAGGATGAAGATTTATTGCAGCAGCATTAAAGCTCATCTCCTACTCCTTCCCATTAATATCCAATAAAAAGAGCATATTTTTGAGCATTCAAACATTATCAACATGTTTATTAGTATATCTTAAACAAGTATTTGTGCTACCGTCTTAATTATCATGAGTGCAAATGTACTGTTTCCATAGTTATCTCTGTTCTATACATGTGGCAGCCATATTGGATTTTCAAGTTGACGTTATTGATGAGACACTTTCAAACTTTCCAAGATGAATCCCTATTAAAATTTAATTATTCCAACAAGTCACATGTAACACTGTTGAAATTGAACTTATTAAAATAGACACTTTAGTAGACGCATTTCCAGTGGCTATATAATTACGCAAATTGAAATTTGGAAAATAAACTTGCTGTATGGAAACATGTTGAAAAAAATTTATTATGCCTTATGACTTTTTTGAAGTCATAAGGCAGTTAGTGTTCTTCGCAAAACTGCAAATACGCATTTTTTGCATCACATGAGTCATGTGATCAACAACCGAATGTCACTACTGGCGGAAACGACAAAGACGAGATCAGGAAATGGCAGACAATAATGGTGGCACATTTTTTAAATGCTTATTGTTTGAACTTAGGAGCATGAGATTTAACGGAAATGTCACAATTCCTAAAATTTTTTTATTTTATTTGAAATTTACTAAAATTTAGATTGATCTTTAAAAATTTCTACAAAAAATAATTCAAATTCCAAAAATTCCACGTTTGTCCTTATTTTACAAAAAATTTGCAAAAGTGGAAACTCAGAAATATCTTTTTTCCCCAAAGGTAATGTCTGCTTAATTAAATAATTTTACCTTTTTTAGTTTTGGCAAATTTTCAACTTTCGGAGTTAAGAAATTTCCAAATTTTTTCCTATAATTTTCTTTTAAAATAATCTCAACATTTGAGACTATTTTTATAGAAAAATTTGGACTTTTGCAGCTTACAAAAAATCTATTTTTTTAATTTGCAAGTTTCCAATTTGCCTAAAAAGTTGAAAATTGTTGACTTTTCAAACCCAGAAAGTTGTTTTCTAGAAAACATTTAAGATTTAACATTTAAGTTTTTTCTCACAAATTTTTGACTTTCCCACTGGAAAATATCAAAGATTATTTTCTAGAAAATCTTTGAGCTGAATCTCAAAGTTTGAGATTTTTTTTTCTTGCAAATTTTGAAGTTTTGGAGCTGAGTTTTTTTTTGGGCAGAAATTTACTCCTATAAATCAAAGCCATATATTATATTTTTAAGAAAATATGTTTTTTTGTGTTGTTGTACCTAATAGTCCCAGGTGAAGTTTCCTGTTTTTTTTTTTATTTTAGTTTCCTCTGTTTTTTTCCCTTTTTTTTTGTAAGTTTCTTCTGTGTTTTTTTTTTTTTTGTTTGTTTTTGTTTTGTTTCTTTTTTTAGGTTTCCTCTTTTTTTAGTTTCCTCTATGCTATTTTTATTTTATTTTTTAGGGTTTCTCTATGTTTTTTTTTTTTTTTTTTTTTAAGTTTTCTCTGTTTCTTTTTTTTAAAGTTACCTATGTTACCTCCAGCTGCGGCCGGTCAGCCAGCCCCCCGGAAGGCGGCGCTCTCCCCGCCCAGGTCTCATCCTCATTCGGCCCCGCTCCAACTGGAGCCTCGGTGTGGAAACTGGAGAAAAACCGCTGCGTTTCTTCCTTCCCAGCCTTCAAATAAAGCGGAATAACCACCAACCATGAGCCGTTTTGTCCACACTCCAGCCCTTCCTCTCCTTGTCTGCCTGCTCGCTGCTGCCGCTGTTTGCTCCGGAGGGTCGGACGCGCCGCGCGGCGTCGCGCTCGGGTTCGTCTTCGACCTCCAGGCGAAGTGCGACCCGCCGTGCGAACACGGAGGAGTCTGCATCCGAAACAACAGCTGCCTCTGCGCCAAGGGCTACGAGGGAGAGACGTGCCAGTACGGTGAGGAGCTGACGATGTATCTAGGAAAACTCTTTAATCCATCCGGGTACTTTAATTGTTTGATAATAATACAATCAATAGTTTGCATTAATGGCGTGTTTAAAATTAAACTGGATAATTTCACATAATTGCAGTAACTAGTTACATTTACTCAGTTACATTTACTTGAGTATCTTTTTTTTATTTGTATTTTTTGAAAGAATGTACTTTTAGGATTATTTTTAGCATTCTCTACTTTTTACTGTTACTTGAGCAATTTCATTATGAAGTATTTCTGGATTTTCTACCCACAAACATATTTTAACCAAAAATTCACCAGACACAGACACACAGAGAAAGTTTCACAATTAAAATGTATCATTTTGTTATTTTTGCTACTTATATGAACTATTGTCATTTTCATCCTTAAAATACCAACATTTCCTCTTAATTAATAAAATACTTGTAAGCTAGTTTTGCCTTATTTCAAGTGAACTAGGATATTTTCAATGGAAAATAAACCAGAATTACTTTGTAAGATTTTGTGTTTTTGCAGTGTATGAGCTCATTTATATTGAACTACCAATGGAACCGTTTGCAAACCATTATTTCCTGGTTTGCAAGCCAGGAAATAATGATTTTTCACCAATATGCTGACTCTTAAAGAGCAGTAAATTTGGTGTGTAGTTGATAAATTGAAGGATTCTTGATATTTATTATTTCCTTTTTTCTCAATGACATTTTTCACAATTCTGGCTCATTTAAAGCAAAGAAAAGATATTTTTAACAAAGTGAGTTTATGTTTAGTTCAAAAACATATAATAGATTAGTATAATTAAACTACAGTGTTCATTATTCTTTTAGAAAGTCTGAAATTCAGATTAGAGGTATTGGAAAATGATAAATAAGACATTATTGATTCCATTCCAGCAAACTGTTTCCCCAAATGTAAAAATGGCGGCGCTTGTCTGCGACCAGGGAAATGCAGGTGCCAACCTGGATATGGAGGAAGATACTGTCACACAGGTCAGATGATTGACAAATCAATCAATAGATCCATCAGTTTGTCATATTAATCATTACATGTTCCACAGTGACGTGTGCGGGCGGATGCTGGAACGGAGGGGAATGCAACGCCGTCAACGGAGAGGCCAAATGCATCTGTCCGTCCAGCTGGAGCGGATCAAAATGCCAGGATGGTGAGTTTAATGGCTGCACCTGGTCATGTGATCATCACAGAAAGGTCACAGAAAGGTCAAAGGTGCTACATGCACTGCAAAAACACAAAATACCGTCAATGAATTTTGGTCTAGTTTCCAAGGCAAATATCTTAGAAAAACTTGAAATAAGACAAAACTAACTCATAAATAGCTTACTTAATTAAATACTTAAATAATTACTTGATACTGATGAAAAACTTCCAGTTCTATTGACAGATTATTTCACTTCTTACAAAGGAAATGTTTTAAGTGAAATAATTTGTTGGTTAAACTATTAATTTTCATCAATATTTTACTTAAAACAAGCTCCGATATCTTACTGAAAAGTTATGAGTTATTTTTGTCTTAACTCAAGTTTACTAAGATATTTACCTTAGAACGGCGGTGAAAATGTCATTGGAAGTAAAGTTTTAGTTATCTAAAATGCTAAATTTGAATTTACTGCAGAGCTTAAAGAAAGCTATGAAAGGTTTTTTTATACAGTGTGAACAAAGTCTGGGTTTGTCTAAAGGAAACAGTTTGAAATCTCCACAAAGAACAAAACCTTAAAAAATAAATATATTGATCACAATTACATTGAAAAAGATGGAAATACATCAACAGGTCTATTTCAACTTTCTCATAAGACAATCATGTGGCAAAAATGAAGATTAAAAATGGGGCAAAATAACGCGTTTCACATCGTGTTTTTTCATCCCTTCATAAAAACCTTCCTGGATTTTTTTTTTTCATGAATGACGCCATGGAAACCATTCAGCTGTGCTAAACGCCTGCATGGACTTAGCTCCGCCTTCAACGATGCAGCTCCTCCTTTGAGCTGCAGTCCAGAAACTAACTGTCCCACTCAAATCCTTCAGACTAGCCAGCAGCAAATAGCAAACATCTGGTGAAATTACGCATCTGTTGGTCTTTTTTATAACAGCTGTGGTAAAAAAAAGAAAAAAAAAGTGTTGTTAAAGGGTTAATAGAGGAGCCATGTTGTGATGACTTCCTGAAGGTGGAATTTCAGAAAGAGCAGGAGTTTCTTAAAGAGACAGTGACCCAATTTCAGTTACATTTAAGTCATTTTTATAACAACTGAAGCTGACATGGTTACTTGATTGTTCTATAACTTTGTGCTAAATACATAATGCTGCCCACTTAAGAAAGATTTGCAACTTTGTACATTTTTGAACTTTTTTTTTAAGTCAGTAACTTTAGGACACAGCAATCACAAAAAACATCTCAACATCCTGGATGAACCGATGTGGGATTTTGTTCTCTTTGGATGGATTGATTAAATATTCAGTTTGTTTCCTGGCTTCCTTCTTGAACCTTGAGCATTTGTTTGGTTTTATCCTCCAAACAGCCATCTGTCCCCAGGGCTGCAGGAACGGTGGCGTCTGTGTGGCTCCAGGAATCTGCAGCTGTCCAGAAGGATGGCTGGGAGGAGCGTGCCACAACGGTGAGTTCAACACTTTCATCGTCTTTTCTGCTCAGATTTGATTTTTTTCTGCCTTTTATGAAGGCATTCATAAAAGATTTAAAAGGCAGATTTTCATAAAAGGCAGATTTTTTTCTGCCTTTTATGAAGTTTATGAAGTCAGCTTGGGATTTCACAGAAAAAGCTAACAGCTCTTGGTTTTGTTTCCTTTGTGTCGGGTTCAGCGGTTTGCGGTCAGCCCTGCCTGAACGGAGGGAAGTGCATTTCTCCAAACAAATGCCGCTGCCGGCCGCCTTTCTCCGGTCCTCGCTGTGAGGAGAGGAAAAAATCCCACTAATCATTTCCAGACTCCAAAATCAGGATTATTCTCTTGTAGCTCAAACATTGTTCTGGATAATATGTATCACCTTTTTAAGAAATAAATGAAACATTTGTACCATGCTTGTTTTTTAAATACTGTAATTTGTCATTAAATCATAAATCATGTTGTGTCAAACATTTATTTACAAAACAAGTAAATTTATTTGCATTATAATTGCAAAACATTCATGTTTATAATTATGCTTTCAACAATGTAGGCATTAGATGTAAATAAATACAACATACTTATATAAGCGCTTTTGTATTAATGTAAAAACATAACTAATTTATTTTTATGGCAGAATCATAAAACTGAAATGTTAATACATTTTTGCCATCAAATATTTGCTGAAAGTTAATGTTTGTAAAATAAATCTGAGTTAAAATATCATAATTGTGAACAGTTAAACAAAAACACTCCTGTTGTGATTTTATAAAATGAAACCTCGATAAATCTTTAATGTCACATGTATTTTTTTAATAATTCAACTGGAAAACAAGAAAATCTGTTTTTGCAGTGAAGCGTTTTGTAGAGATTTTGTCACAATCTGAGATGTCTGGAGAATATTTGCAAGAACAAATGTTCTCAAATCAAGATGTTTGACAAAACTGAATGATGCGTTTCAATTAAAAATTAATCATTTGAAGAAACTGAAATAAGGTTTTGTTTTTCTGTTGGTTTATACAAGTTATAACAATAATAATATTAAAGGAAATGCTGGAAAAAATATTTTTTATTATGGTTTTGTTTTTTAAAATACAAAACTATAAAATTCATCCACTGCTTACAGAGTCGTATATATTTAAAGTACTTTAAATGAATTCAACAGATTTAACTTTTAGCCTTGAGGTAGTGAAATGCAGGGACAAAAACACAAGTGCAATAAATCATTTCCCTCAGCTGAAATGTGCACAAATTAGCACATTTTGTTCTCCATCATACATTCAAACACTAAAACACATCCGGTTGTTTTCAGCTTTTTGCAGTAATTCTCTTCATCTTCTCATGCATGTGAAGCCTGTGAAGAAGACAAGACTTTAAGAAAACCAGGTTTACACAGAACATTTATTACATACAAAAGATAGAAAATCACCTCCTGTGATTCTGCAAACGCCTCTAAAACCATAAAGTAGTTCAGTTTTTAAGAATGGTGACCTCCCGTCTCACCTTTACGGCGCAGGTGAGGCCTTTGAAGCCTCTCCGGCAGTGGCAGTAATCGGGCAGCACGCACCGCCCGCCGTTGAGGCACGGCCGCCTGCAGGAGGCTGAGCAGAAACACACCGTCAACAAAAAGGTTCTGCAGAAGTGAGTCTCCGATGAAGTTTATTCAAATTCACATACGACAGTTAACGACTGAGAACATAAATGTTCCAGTTAAAATTAATTTGATTGATTTATCTTCTCAAAATCATGAAAAAAATGAAAATGTTTGGAAATTTTTAAAAACAAACAATAGTGTGTGGAAGTATTCACAGCTTTTTCTGAAAATTCATTTAAAACATTTAAGAAACCTAAAGAACGAAAAAGCAAACATAAGACATGGGTGGACAGGTGCCTGATTTTTATTAGATTACATTATTATATTATTAGTGAAACAATCTCCAAGTGGAACCAGCATTTTATATAATTTCTATTCACATTTTCTTTATTTACAAACATGAAGAAACGTGTTTCATCTGTTTCAGCTCTTTTTTTCCATTAATTTTAAGGAATTATTGATTTGAAATAAAACCAAAATAAGTTACAAGTAACTTTTCAGCAAGAAATAAAACGTAATTTTAAGTGTTTTAAGATATCTGCATTAGAAACTAGCAGAAAAAAGAATTCCTTATTGAGATTTCAGAACGGCTTGTTTAAAGAATAAAAAGCAAACAACATAAGACCTATAAATATTAAAGTATTTATTATATTATTAGTGAACTTGCAATTTTTCATAAATTTTAAGAGTTTATTGACTTAAAATGTGTTTTTTTTCTTGATGAAGACATAACATCTCTGAGTGCTCTATTGTGTGTAAAATGTTGATGAAAACATGAATTTATTCCATTTGCAGTAAGTAAAATCTTTTTGCAGTATCGTCTGGGGGGCCGGTGTCATTTATCGACTCACGTGTTTGACAGTGCAGACCTTCCCAGCCGACAGGACACTGACACGTGTTCGCTCCCACGCACTCGCCGCCATTTTTACACTTCTGCAAACAAACGGCTGCAACGCAAACAGGCAGAGTCAAGTCTTTCAAAACTTATTTACACTTTAGAAACACAATGTTTGATATTAGGGATGCACAGATTGTAGGAGTCGAAATTTATGCATCAAAGTGTAATAACGGATTAGTTAAAACAAAACATTAAAACAAGATTTATAAACGATTTAATAAAAATAAGTAAATCTTCATCTCCACATTACACAGATTTTACATTTTATATTATACAAGATCATAAAACAGATGCATTTATGCCTGAAATTATATCTCAACAGAGCTTTTTGCACCTTATTTTAAAGTTTTGCTCTGTACTAATGAACAAATGAGTCGTTATCATCTTAAACAAATGATTACATCTTCAAATTCTGGCAATATGATTGTTACTTTTGCTTTTCAAGTTTCAAATTAAGATTGAAATGATACTTTGGTTAGTTAGTGATCTGATTAATTTAATCAGCATTTGATTATATTAATTATACAACAAAAGGTTTGGGAGACAATAGACTTGTTTTCTGTCTTCTCTGCAGGGTAGAAGTAAAATAAATTCATCTGAACATGCAGACTTTTTAAAAGGATCTTAATTGTTTTAATAAATTATTCCAGAATAAACTCAAATATCTCGATTATTTTTGATTCCGGCAGCATAATCTGTGAATAGAAATAAACTCACGCATGTTGCATCTTTTCCCGCTCCAGCCTGAAGAACAAGAGCAGGTGTTCGGTCCGACACACTTTCCTCCGTTCATGCACGTCGGCTCACAAACACCTGGAACAAAAAACATTTTCTCATTCTTAAAGAACCCTTAATTTTTTTCTTACTTTACTCCGAAGAAGCCGCATAATCCCATTATCATTTGAAATGTTGAGTGATAATCATTCAGTCATTCAGAATGTTTTCTTAGAACAAAAGGAGAAAAATATCAAATTTTCTTAAAATATTGTGTGATCAAAGTTTCCTTAGTTCAGCTGCTGTATGTTGAAAAGCAGCAGAAATCCAAAGAAAAATTGTATCAGAATCAATTTTATTTACAAAGTTTGTGAACAAAATTAAGGAATTTGACTTAAAAACAAATATATAAGGAAGGAAATAAAAATATAGGTTTTCAAATTTTTTATGTTTACTTCCAAAAATATGGTTTTAAAAATAGGGAGAAAATGTTAAAATAGTGAAAAACTGATTGTGCATCAGAGAAAGACTCGTTTTTGCAAATAATCCTCTGTTGCGCCACCATGAAGGTAAAACTGTTTGTGTCCAGGATGTGTGGGGTCTGCAGAGAAACTAGCTGCCATTTTCCTGATGCTACGGCTATACAGGAAGGTCAACCGTCTGTCTTCCAAAGATTGCAGAAGATTTGATGACCTTTGCACTGAACTGAAGTTGCAATACAGGCTCAATAAAAAAACCCAACAGACTGATTACTTACTTTTTTGGCATCTTTTTCCTGTGTAGCCCTCTGGGCAGGAGCAGACGTTGTTTCTGATACACTGACCCCCGTTTTTACAAGGCGGACTGCAAACAGCTAAAACAAAACAAAAAAGAACTAACTTCTTCAACAATAAGTTGATTTTTTTTTTAATGCAACAACCATCTTAGAAGTAACAGAATTTACATTTACCCAATTATATTTACTTGAGTAACATTTTTTGAAAAATTGACTTTTAAGAGTATTTTACTACCCCGTATTTTTTATTTTTACTTTAGTAATTTTATTTGGAAGTATTTCTGCTCTTACTTGTGTAAAATTTCTGTGGATTTTCTGCCCACTGAATGAAAAACACTGGATAGAATTTTAACTACCCACTGTTTTAACCTGAATTTGGTTAAAATTCAGCTTAATTTTAACCAAAAATTCACACCTGAAGCTTTTGTTAAAGTTTCACAAGTTTATTTAATTGAAGGAAACTGATTTGGACATATTTTATTTTGGCTGATTTTGTTATTTTTATGAATTATTTTAATTTTTGTAATTAAAAATACTCCACTTAACTTTACATATTGGTTTTAAATATGAAATGATTGATAATTTGATCAGATTATTAACCAAATACTTGGGTAATTTCTTCAAAGGCTACTTTTTACTTTTACTTGAGTAAAAATATGTTGAAGTAGAATTACTCTTACTTTGGCACAATTTTTGAGTATTTTACAACCTCTGCAAAAAAAGCACACTGCAAAAACACAAACTCTTAAGCTTAATATTTTGGTGCACTTGAAATGAGACAGAAGTTTACAAGCAACTTTCCATCAAGATTTAGGAGCTTGTTTTTAGTCAATATTGTTGATAAAAAAGTTCTAGTTCTAGTTCTAAGTGAAATAATCATGAATATTGAGGAATTAGTTTTTGCAGTGCAAGGAGAGGTGTGTCTTCCAAATGCTTTAACTAAATATTACCAATTTGGCACTGAGAGCCAAAGAAGCCAGTGGGACAGGCGCAGACATTTGGCCTCAGACATGATCCTCCGTTGAGGCAGACGGGGTCACACTGAGCTGCAGGGGAAACAGCTGTTAGCTTAGCTTATGCTCCGTCTCTGAGGTGAAGCCTGTCTGCGTTATCGGGTTTCCTTCCCTACCTGAGCCGCACGTTGGTCCGTACCAGCCGTGTTTACATCTGCAGACGTCTGGAGAAACACACTCACCTCCGTTTTCACAGTGCCTGCTGCACACCACTAGGAGAAACAAATCAGCCCAGTCAGCCCTGATGAATGGAAACATTAGCATAGAGCTAATGAACTGGATCACGCTCTGTCGGGATGAACCGCAGACGTGTTGCTGACTGGAGGACAACTTGGGAGATGTGCGAGAACTTCACTGCAAAAAACACAAAACCTTACCAAGTATTTTTGGTCTGGTTTCTACTGCAATTTGGTTCTGATCTCAGTACATTTGAAATAAGACAAAACTAACTTAAAAATAACTTTTCAGCAAGACATACAATCTTGTTTTACGTCAGTGATTCCTTAATATGGATGAAGAAGTCCTAGTTCCACGGACAGACAGATGATCTCATTTATGACAAAACAAAGACATTCTCCCCATGTTATAATTTCTCGAAAAGTTGCAAGTATTGGCATTTTTTAAAACTATACCAAGACATAACATGTTGTCAGTAAAATGATGTACAAGTAGAACTTTTTAAGAACTTTATACTTAATGAAGGTCATTTTGTATTCTTGAAGGTGAAAATTACTTTTTACTTTTTACTTTTTTCATACAAGTATCTGTACTAGTATTTAAGTAGAAAATGTGAGTTCTTTTGACACATCTGTAATAATGGAGTTGCAGCAACAAAATGAACATTAAAAAAGATCTATAGCTGGAAAAACTGTTTAAAAAGTCAAGGTGCATCTCACTGATTTCGCATCTGGGCCCCACGTAGCCATAGGCGCAGGTACAAAGGTTTCTGGCCAGACAAGTGCCTCCATGTTGACACGGCGGCTCGCAGCTCGCTGCACAGCAAACACAAAAACACCCAGCAGTAATTAGTGAGACGTGTGTCGATTCAGCTCAGGATCTGCTCAGATTACCTTCCTCGCAGGTCGGCCCGCCGAAGCCCACAGGACATTCACACACGTCGGGTTTCACACACCTGCCCTGGTTCTGGCAGTGAGGCCGACACACGGCTGAGAGGCGGGGTGAACACACACAATCAGACGCTGAGATAAACAGGACGAATCTGGAGAGGTGCTGATGAGCTAGTTTTTCTGCGCAAATCGACACAGTGAGAAAGCTCCGTCACTCTCACCTGTGTGACAGTTGTATCCGGTGTAACCTTCTCTGCAGGTGCAGGTGTTGGGCAGAGAGCACTCCATGTTCTGCCCACACGGATATCTGCAAACAGCTGAAACAGAAAATACATTTTCAACAAAACCAGTAAAATAAGGGAGAAAAACTCATAACCATAACAAAATTGTTCCAGAAGTTAAAATGATAAACAATAATATTGTTGTTTTGAGACTATTTTTAAGTAATATGTTGATAATGACATAATAATGGAAGAGCAATAAACCAGTAAACAGAAACAACAAATAATATTAATTATGACGTATCTGTAAACAAAACAATTTTCAAAAAAGAGGGAAACCAAAGCACCACAACTCAACGCTTACATGAAGATGTTCACGAACAGATGCAAAGTAACACAACCATACATTTTTGAAAAGCAGAAGTGTCGCCTCCTGCACCACAAACAAGAGTGCAGACACTGTGTGTGTGTGTGTTTATCTGTGTACTGTTATTAGAAAGAAACTTGTTACAGTGGATGTTTTATTTTATTTTTGTATTGTATATCTTATCAAAGGACTGCAGAGGCTATCATCTGGTAAAGCACGTTAAATGGTGACGTTTATGTTTGAGCTGTATATTGTCTTTGTCTAAGTAAAGATTGTTATTGTTAAGTGGTTTCTGAATGGTAAGTCAACAACAAAACACATTTATTTTTTTTAACCAGCAGGCATTCTTCTGGGCACACAAACCACGTGACCAAACGACCTGAAGTTCAGCCAGGTGACGGGCGGGGCTCGGATGGGTTTGCTAGGTAACGGTAGTGTTGTTTAATTTGACTAAATGAATTTTCCAGACACCCAAAACATTAACTTATTGCTAGAAAACATCCAGATGTTTTTTTTAAGAACTTTTTTTTTTGTTTAGTTTTTTTTAGAATCAGTTGGAAGAACAAAAATGTGTAAAATGTAAATTCTGCATAATAAATCATATTTAAATTTAAAACTGTTCTTCATATTGATTTTATTTGCAATTGGCAGGCAATTATAGGTGGGCATCAAATTGTACATATTAATAACCTACATCAGCCGATCACAGTTTACAACAGGTGTTTGTCCGAAACTAAAATGGCGGCGTTGCGCTGTTCTAAATGTCGCAGTTTGACGTCATAAATCGGCGTCGTTCTGAAGGATTAAATACTTATCGTCACCTTTACATACGACTCCATCCCCGGCGTAGCCGAGCGGGCATCGTCCACACCTGGGGGATCCTGAGCGCGTCGGTTCACAGGTAACACCGGGAAAGCAGGGAGAATCAGAGCAGGTCACTGTGCTATGCTGCCCCCTGTGGACAGAGGGGGAAAATGCTCGAGAACCAGTGGGCTGTTTGTCCCTGAAGGAAACTCTCCTAGTGTCTGGTCTCCACTTCCTGTCTGGAGGTTGGTTGTTTGAGGCAGGAGAAGAAGAAGATGAGGAAGACGAGGAGTGGGTCCTTTCATCGGTGGAATTGGTCCCAGCATATTTTCCACTGGTGAGTTTTTCCTGACCTGCAAGTGCAAGACACTTAAAGTTAGAAAAAGTGACTTTAAAGCCGACAAAAACATTGCCTTGATTTTATACAAATAAGACTCAGATGTTAGTTTTTTTTAATAAAAAAAAAGATCATGATGAACATTAAAAATATTTGTGAGGAGATAAAGTTATGTTTTTCAATCTTTAAATAAAGAAATATAAAAATCATTAACTCCACAACAAGCTTTTTTATTATTTCTTTTTTGAGTTCGTCAAGAGATTAAACTGTAATTTTATGATATGTTTTAGGAAATATAGAGGAAATGTTTTGTTTCTTTTATTCTGATGATGCTTTAAGTATAATAAGCTTCTATTTACACTTTGTGTTTTTGCCACTGACGAGAACTTAATTATTATTTATCCATTTCTGTGCTTGTCTTTTATCCTTTTTCAACTTCTTTATGGAAAAGCAAAAAAATGACCAATAAAGAAATAAATATTAAATATATATTTATTTATTTATTTATTTATAACTGGGCTCAAATGTTATGTCTTTCTCAAACTAGTGTTTTTTTCTCTGAACAATGTACTTGGTGGGTTTAATTTAAATAAAGGCTTGTGCCAGTCGCAGTCTTTCTTCATCGCCATTCTGAAGCATATTTTAAATCAGAATCCTAATATTCCCATCCCCATGATGCAATCTTGGACTTTAATTAATATTGAACGTCTTTGGTTAAAGTGGTATTTTGGTCCAGATGTTTCTAATTTTGAATCTTTAGTTCATAAATCCTGATATGACTTATCTTAAGTGTGACATGAATCTCACCCATTTTTGTGCACGTTTGTCCGTTTCCTTGGAAACCAGGAGGACAGGGTCCACAGGCGAACCCGGCTGAAACATGGACGCTCTCGAAGCACAGAACCCCCGTGTAACACGGCGCCCTGCTGCACGGCGAAGGACCCGGCGGTTTGGGTCTCTGAGAAACCTGCGGCGCCGTCACTGGAGAACCTGCAATGTTTTTCTCTGTGTCGGGGCACAAAGTTCAGAACAATAAGCTGAAAGACGGGTCATGTTTAGCTGGAGAAATGTTAACACTGTGCGTACCTTGGCACATTTTCCCATCACCTGTGGATCCTGATGGACAGGATCCACAGGTGAAGGAGCCCAGAGTGTTGCTGCAGCTCACTGCAGGGAAGCACGGCTGTGACAGACACTCGTCTATATCTTCCCTGCATGTTCGTCCTAAATACCAATGAAACGTTACAGAGACGAATAACGTTCTAAACCACCACCGAGCATATAGGCATCCTATTCACTTATAGCTAAAATAACAAGCTCAGCTCTTCCTACCCGTCGTTCCAGGAGGGCAGATGCAGGAGAAGGAGTTGGGTCGGTCCACGCAGCGACCCAGCCTGCAGGGGTTCGGCTTACAGTCGTCTATGTCCATCTCACACCGCCGACCCGTGAACCCATCAGGACAGACGCAGACGTATTCGCCGCTTCCGACGGGGGAGTTCACGTTGGTGATGCAGGACGCTGCGTTGAGACAATCGCAGGACTGCACAGAAACCTGAGGGCAAAATAAAATCAATTTTCTTTGTATGTCTGCTACTGGATTAGATATTTACATCCATCTGTGACAAACTTGGTCCCACAAATGCAAAAAAAGAAGATTTTATCCATGAGTTTCAGTTAATACAGGGAAAGATTGGTTATGTCTGACAAAATCATACACTTATTTTATTTAACAATTAAACAATTTCACCACTTATGTTCACATAACCTTTTCTTTTTACTGTGAAAAGCAGTGTAGTGTTCAATAATAATTAAAAAACAATAATATTTGGCAAGAAACATAAATGCAGAAAAATAACTGACATAAATTACAGCACATCTATCCTTAAAAATATATAATAGTGCTACATCTATGTTTTAATATGCTTTTATATAAATTACTCAATAAGACGACAAACTAGAATTTTAAAGCTAAATTTTGTTGTAAATTTATTTTAAATAATACAGATTTTTTCAGTTGACTTTGAAATTTTGTGCATTTTTTTACTTTTTGGCTTTTTTCCCCACAACTTCTCACAATTAATTATCATTGTTAAGAGTCTGAAATATGTAGGCTCTGCCAAAAATAATTTATTTTAATGTGCAGTTAAAATAAATATCAAATTAAATTATGTACCGTTAGCACCCTCTAGTGGTAGGAAGTTGAAACACTTCCTAGGGAATATTTGTTTCAATTAGGACTAATTTAGTAATACTGGATTATTATTTATGTTCCAGTTTTTCCTCAAGAGCTGAAACACATTTTTCAAACTTTAAATGTTAGATTATTTTGAAACTCTTCACAGCTGATTTTGATCATTTTAAAGCGTCTAAATAATAAAATGGTTTGTGTCGATCTCACCTGGACAGAGGTGAGCGTCTCCGCACTGCACGCATCACTGACAGTAAACTGGAACGTGTGGGTGTCTGAGGGTTCAGAGGTCGCCTTCCACATCAGCAGTCCGGCTGAAGTGAGCGAAGCCCCTTTTGGACCCGAGACCAGGCTGAAAAGAACCGTGGAGCCTTCAGGGTCGTGAGCCTGTAGCTGGTAGATGAAACTTTCCTCCTGGAAGGAGCGGAGAGGAAACTCTGGCGGCTGGAACAACGGAGGCTTGTTTTCTGGATGAAAAACAAGAAACAGCTCAAATATGGAGGGGGATTTTTAAAAGAATCATAATTATGAGGCTCAAGTTAAAAGTATGAGTGTGAGATACAAGCTTATTTTTTTTCATCAGTGTGATGGAAATGTCTTCCATAAACTCTGCAGTCTGCAGATTATTCAGTAACTCCTGTGAGATTTTGTCATGTTTCTAAGCCCCGGCTGACCTAGTTTGAGCTTCAGAGGTAAAAGTTAGCCAAAAAGTGTAACAATGAGATCTGCAGCCTTAACATCAGCGCCGAAGGACAGATGTGACTTCAATCAGCTCTGAGCTGCTGACAAATCATCCAAACTGCCTCCGGTGAGCAGCAGCCGTCTGATGGAGGACACGGCTGAGCTGTGAGGCGTTCAGGTGTGATTAGAGACACGGTCCAATCGCTCTGAGAGGAAGACAAGCTCGGACTTTGGATTTTCATACACACGGTGTTTTACATGTGGTTTTCTACTTTGACAAAATCCAGGCCAGGAATTAAAGAAAAAAGTTCCTTCACTTTTTTTCCTGTTAAATCTGTGTTTTTAGTTTGTGTCAATTTGAATATTATACAAACTACAAACTTTATCCTGGTTTGCACCGGGATAAAAATGACAAAAAGAACAAGGACCAACTTATATCCACTGTAATACAGGTAACATTATTTTTGCATGTTTTTTGTACACGATTAATCTTTAATCTGACAAGCATATTTAACCTAAAACAGAAACACTCAAATTGTAAAACCATCTGCAAATTTACAAGATACAAAATCTTATGAACATTATTTCAGGTCCCGTCTATCTAAGAACTTTCTCTGCTTTCGTGCATCATTATCCAACTATTCTCCGTTCTTGAAGTCTTTTTGCGCTGATTCAAGTCATTAAATGTGAGTTTCCTGCACATACTCTCAGCTTTGGACCATGCGTGTTTAGAGAGGTCTGGACGGCAAGTGAAGCAAGGGCTGCTGGGATTGGATTCCCCTTCATTGTAGCACAAATCCCCAATGATGCAGGTCTTCTCCTGGTGAAAAATCATTTAAATTATCACCATCAAAACATAATTTGTTGAGGATGCCAGAGAAACAGTTAATTAATTGCATTATAAATTAAATAATTTGCATGATTTATTATTTCTCTTGTCTTTATCTATCAAAAACTGGATTATAAAAGTCTGGTTTCAACCAGCTATTTTTTGTCAAGAGACTTGATTAGTTTAGTTTCTCGGTTTAATCTTAAGTACAAAACAAATTCAGCGAAAATAATATTTGATTGTCTCCAACTTTCTGCTCCAGCTCCGTTACGCTACATCCTTAAAAACCCTCCATCACCGACCGAAACCGACCCGAGGAGATTAAAGCTGCAGCTGCGTCACGGTTAAAGGATTAGGAAGAAGGATGTCTCACCCGCAGGGTGCACATGATTTCTGTGTCGAGGCTGCAGATCTGACAGCCTCCGTCATACAGAGTCAGGATCTTGGCGTTGCTGTAGCTGTAGCCATCGTTTGAAACCTGCCATCAGCAGAAGTTGGATTATTGCGGCCCACACACACACAGAGCCATGGAAAAGTTGTAGTCTCCATGTATTTACAACATCCAGCTACAGTGATGATAAGACACATAAACTGATGATTTTACTGAAGCTTTACCAATTCATTTTAGAACAGAGCTTCAGGTGTGACTAACTTTGATCTGCCAGCGCGTAACGGCTCGGTTTGTCACTGCGTCTGCAGGACCCCGGTTGTCCTCCAGGGGGAGCCGGCACTCAAGACCTGTTTCATTCAGGAAAGTGGCCTGAACAAACCAAGTAGCAACCGAGACCGACTCCCCGTCTTCAACCTTGATAAGAGATTAAAACAGAAAATAAGAAGGAACATAAAAAAGGACTATAAAAGCCACAGTGTAATAGTTTAATTAATGGAATAATTAAATGGAAAATGAGGACAAAGTACCTTTTCTTTAACGAACTCACACTTGAGCTGGCTGGAGTCCTTGAAATGGTGGCCATAGACCTGGACGGTGGAGCAGTCTTCCTGACGGACGTCACAAAGACCTTCCTTCCTCAACTTGGTGATCTCTGGAGTCTGGTCTTTACAGAATTAGCATACGGTCAGTTGAGGCTTAAGAAGTGGTAAAGAGCAGAGCATCCATTGCTTTAACTGTCACTGGATCCTCGGAAATGAATATTCATAAAAGCATTCCTGGTTTCGTTGATGTTAAAGCGGATCTATTATTCAAAATTCACATCTTGCATTTTCTTGCCCTTCCGTTAGGATCTGTACTGCTTGTTCCTGTTTGTGAATGAGAACATGATTAATTGTTGTCCTTTCTCCTTGCAGTTGAAAATAAGCTTATATACCTTACAAAAAAGTTACTTATCAGTTAGTTTTGTCTTATTTCAAGTTTGCAAACATATTTGCACTCGGAACTAGACCAAAACCACTTGGTAAGATTTTGTTTCTCAGTGCAGCCCGTCACCTGGCATCCCAGCCGGAGATCCAGCAAGTTTGGTCAGCTGGTTTCACTGCTGGTACAATGACTGCTGGAAAATTCAAGTGTTTTGCTGCAAATTGCAAAGATGTGCTGTTGTATAATCTGTTTGCAGCCCTTTTCAAGTAAGTCTAAACGGCTCTAAAACAGCTAATTCTGAAAGGAGCCCACATTAAAATCTCTTTATCGAGGAATGATTTTGTGCAAAACTCATAGACCTCTCTTAACCCATTCAAGGAAGCTCAACAGTTCACCTTTACAATCTGAGTTTTTTGGTATAATCTCTTGGGTTTTGTGTCTGCTGTGTGTTTTACCCGTCAGCTCGCTGCAGTCATGTGAACCGAACCCAGGGAAGCAGACGCAGCCCGACTCGGAGCACTGGCCGTTCCCATTGCACAGGTCCGGACACCTCAGGATGGACGCCGCGTCCCGGTGCTCCTCCCATCTCCTCCGCTCTTCCACCAGCTTTCGCTCGCACTCGTTCTCCAGCAGCGGTAAGGTGGCGTTCAGCCACGTCGGCTCATCTTTCAGCTGCAGGTCGGAGACGCACATGGCCACCGCTCGGCTGATTGTTGGGCCCGCTAACAGGAGCCGGCAGCCGACGGCGACACTCGAGTTTCCCACTGTGCGCTCACACTGAGCCTGAGCCTGCTGCTGAGTTAGACCAGCAGGAGTCGGCCATCTTGGGAGTCCGTCTGGCTGAACGGAGAACTCCTGATCCTCTGGGAAGAGGTATGAGAGGCTGTCCGGATGTGGCAAACTTTCACTGCGCCCAGAAGTGAGCTGTGGTTTTTTATTTTCTTTCTGTAGCTCCACTGATCTGATATATTTATCTGTGACATCCAGAGCAGGGATAAAGCTCAGAAAATGAATAAGTCTGTGATTGGAGCAGCTGGATTCAGATCTGAGAGATGGTTTCAGGTGATCTGCTTGACAGTTGCAGTATGTGTGAATGTTTGGCGTGTTCACATCGGCTGGCATGGAGTCAAACAAGCTGCTGCCTGCAGGGAGTCTGAAAGAAACACAGAAGAAGTCAGAGTTTAATCCAGAGACAACGAGAACAGAAGTAATTGCTGTATTTTTGTTACTTGTCATATATTACAGGAAAATAGAACATATTTCACCAAACATGCACATTTTAATATTTTGGAGCTGAATTTTGGAACATTTTCAGTCCAAAATTTTAAAATAATTTAAAATAGTCCTCCATGTTATGGAAACAGACGCTAACATCAGCATCATTGGCTAGCTGCAGTAGGCAGCCATATTTGATTCCAGTGCTTCTTCTGGAATCAAATTCTCACTTTGTCAGATTAGTGTTTTTCACCAAATATCCAAATTGCTTTGATGACTGCAAGTGATTTAAAGGCAGTGGATGGTTCTTCAGTGTTATTTACCTTCAGAAAAGCTGAAATAGCCATTTAAAATCTCATGCATACAGAATAAAGGAGAACTTACTCAGCTAATGAAAACTAGTGTGCTCCTGAGCGTAGTTTAGCTTAATCTGTGGATCAGTTCACAGATATTGTGATTCTTAAAACACAGCTGAAACCCACTGACCTCCACTCAGATATGAAATCCTGCAGCTGCTCCAGCACAGCGCCCCCTGCTGAGTGGAAGTCATTGTCTGGCCATCCATCATATGTCCCACACAGACCCAATGTGTGGTTCTGGTCTGAACTGGGAGCCCTCAGAGTCAGACTCATTCCCCAATTTGAGACATCTGCACGAACAAATGCTCCAGAGGAAAACGAGATCTGCAAAGAGAATCAGAACAGAAGTTTTTATTCAAAACCTGCAGATATTAAAGGTGACCCTTGAACAGGTTAATAGGATTTTCATTAAATTTTTTGCACAAAATCATTCTTAGGTCATTTTTATTTTATTCTGCTCAATTCAATTATTTCAGAATAAGCTGTTTTATGGCGGCTTGTCACTTTAAATCCAAATAAACTGCTGCTGGCCACGCACCCAACTCTATATTTACACTCATATGTGCAATTATACAACTGTACGTCTTTGAAAAGCAGACATAGAGCCTAATGCACAACCAAAAAGAATGCAACAAGTGATTTCTGGCTGAAAAGTCAACAACAAAACACTTGCCATTGTGCAGTGGTATCGTGGTAAAATGAGCTAGCCAAATGTACTGTAGCTCTTGGGTTGCTAGGTAACAGACTGAGCTTCCACGGGGTTGCTAGGTTGCAGTGCTGATTTCTGTTGTTGCATTTGGAAGGTTTTTGAAATGACTCATTTTCCAGGCACCAAAAACATTTTTAAATGGCTAGATGTTTTTTTCAGAACTTGTTTTGTTTTTCGAAGCTGTAAAAACCCAGGGAAGTACAAAAATTTGCAAAATGTGAATATTGTACAATAGGCCCCCTTCTAAACCCGTTAGAAATGATAGAAATGTAGATTTCCAGTTTCATTCATGATGAAATGCGGTTGCTGTTGACTCACAGTGACTTTGCGTCCTTGGTACGACTCGCTGATCCGAAAGCCGCTCTTTAGTCGTTTAGCGTTTCTGCTCTTCACAGACAGACGGGGCTTCGTCTCGCCCATCTCGCCGTCACACATGTCGAACGCGACAACGTCGCCGCCGTCCCACGCCGCAAATCCGCACACGCAGGAGGCGGCGTGCACCAGGCTGCCACATTCCCACTGACGGACATGGACCTCAAAGGGCCAAAGGTCACTCTTGTAGAAAACAAAGGTGCCTACTTGATAATTCTCGTAGTAGCTGAGGAAACAACAAGATATGTTTTCAGCATAGTCTGAACTAACAATGCAAACAACAATAGTATTAAATCATTATAATTATTACAATAGATGATTAAAATTAAGTACCTGCCATCAAAAGTGATCATGTGGGGGTCAGTGAAGGAGTAGCAATAAGCTGGGGGAACATCAGTAATGATTATCTGGAAATAAAGAGTTATTTTTATTCCTTCCTTTGAAGGTTATTTGTTTAATTATTTAACTTGACCTTTATTTTTATGGTTTATCTCACTGAAATTCAAGGTCTACTTTGAATTGGCTTGCTACGTAACCAGCTAAACGCTAAAAAAACATTGACATATATTTAAGAAAATGACTAAATGTTTTTTTTAAGTCACTTCTAATTTGAATTAGTTCTTGAATTTCAAATACGATTCAAATTAGATCTGATTTGTTAAACAAGTAAATTTACAAACACTGCAACAGAAATTTGACTCAATTAGATAAGCTGATAAATATAACAATTAAAATAAGTTAATAATAAATAAATAATAATAAACTGCCTTTTATATAATTAATGTGAACTAAATGGAAACGAATTCAAGGTGCGATGTGCTTACCCGAACAGGTTCTGGTGAGTATCCGTTCCAGAGAAAGTTCTGCGAGACGACGGGTTCCACAGAGATGTGACTGGTCCGTTCACCGTCTTTAATAAAGTCCGTGTTGGGACTGAAGTGGACCAGAACCCGGCTACAGACCCCGCCACTGCAGCGACCCCGAGATAAATCCACTTTACAAGATGACAGAGACAAATCTGCACCCAACAAATCCTCATCTGTGGAAAAAGGATGCAATGTGAGTTTGAAAAGATTTAAAAGGCTTAAAACTGTGCAGTTTGTTTCAGAAAGATCAAATTCTGCAACCATAATTGTATTGGGGTGAACATTGAAAGAAATCAGATTTTCCTAAACTGAGAAAATGTGCAAAAACATTTTACTTCTTCAACTAAAAAAGTTTTGGGCAAATAACTGGGAAATTTTTAGAAACTTTCTTACTTGTACTAAACAGCTGCCTCAGCCTTAATTGATGTCAGATTATAGTCCATGATCTATGTAGCAAGTAATAAAAAGTCACTTTTACCTTCATAAATAAGCACAAATATCGCAAATAATACCACTTGGATTTTTACTGCAAAGAATTACAAAAAGTATCACAAAACCCTGGAGGGACAGAAAAGATGTCCAATATTTAATTTTAAGGATTCACTGATTCCTTAACAGTTTTTGAACAGGTTTTATCGATACCGGCCCTTTAAGAGCATTCACGATCCTGATTTGGCCCAAAACAAAAATGATTGTGACACCATGACCTACTAGTTTTTTTTATCTTTACCTTCACTGCTTGTGCTGAGATGCAGAGATAAAACACAGTTTTCTGCAGAAGAGAAAGAGCCGTCCGGACATGGAACCGGAATCGAGCTCTCAACCAGCAGCCGATGCCGCCTCCCGTTCTCAGGCACTCGGCTAACTTCTGGTTTTAACTGCACAAAGAAGTTTTAAAAGAAGAGTAAGTGACTTTATATAGAGGCTCTTCACTGATCAGTATAAAAATATCAACAGGAGTTTTAAAAATAATGGAAAATAAAGTCATTTTTTGGCCAAAAGGGATTTTAGCAAAAATTGACTTGGGCCATGATTTTAGAAAGGCGACTATATGTAATTAATAAACTATGTAGATAAAATATACTTTGCATTCGGATTTATCTTTTTATAAATGAACATACGTATAATATACCTTTATTCCTGCAAAGAACTCCTGACTTTCCACGGGAGAGCCTTGAATATCTGGTGATTCCAACAAGAAACTGGAGCTGGAGCAGTAAATCTAACAAACAGGCAGATACACAGTCATTTTGGTAAAATCTTTTTAAGCGTCTTAATCATATTAGCACCATTTGTGTTTGTTGCCACTGATTGGCTGGACACCCAACAGCAGAAGATAAATTCAGCAGTAGTTCCAAAACAGTTTCCACTTACGAAGGAATATTTGGTGGTTGAACTATTTCAGCCATAGGTGATGAAGATGGAGTGAAAGCAGCCCAGAGTCTCACCGTGTCCCCCAGTCGGAGGTTGAAGCCGTCCAGCTCAATGAGGGCGGAGGTGTGGATGGTGGTCTCCTTCCTGAGCTCCTCCTTCCTGCCCTCAGGTGAGAGGCGCGACCAGGCCACCACAAAGCCCACAGAGCTGCTGGAGCTGCTGTCAAAGCTGCACCTCAGGTACACGGTGTGACCTTTCACCTCTGAGACGATCACAGGCACAGAGGGAGCAGGAGGTGGCTCAGCTGGGAACAGAGAGAAACAAGAAAATCACTGGGAGTAACAAATCAGTTGGATCCAACTGTGTATCCATCTATTAACAGATGGATACAACTAATGGATATGATGTATTCGTCTATGTATAGAAAGAATGTATTAAACATCACAATGAATTCAGCTCAGAAACATTTAGTGTGAACAGAACATTAAAATAAACATTTGCCTTAATACAACACAAGAGTTAATTCAATGTTCAATGCTGCTAAGCATTTTGGGAAATAGTTCCCCCTCCTGTCTTTTTCTTCTTTCAATTTTGTTAAGCGCTATCCTAAAAACTCTAGTTTATTTAACTCTAACAAAAAGTTAACAACTTATTGCTGTGAGCTTATCTCTCACAAACTCTCACATTTAGGTTCAGAATCTAAAACTCACTAAATTTATTTGATGTAAATAGTAAAAGATAGACACAACTGAATGCGGCTCAAATGTTTTACAGTGAACCAGTTTTCCTTTCATTCAGAAACTGACAGAGACTCAAACCTATTTCCTACAACCTTAAATAAGCAAACAATATATAAAACAATTTTTTTTTTAAAAAGAAAACACAGAATCTGCTTCCTGTGTGTATTTACCTTGTGCACAGTAGCCCATGCATCCCGGTGTGGGCTGCAGCAGGTACACATAGAAATCTCCACAGCTCCGGACAGAGACCGGGACGCGGAACATGCAGCAGTCTTTGCTTCCGCTCTGAAAGATCTTCCAGGCAGCGCAGGCTGTCAGCTGCTTGACCTCCAGCGACCCCGGGAGCGTCTCACCATCTCCCAGAGACAACCACACCGGAGCCTGGGTCCCACAGTGGTTTACCTGCGTCACGCGGATGTCAAGGAATACGTCTTTACAATGCAGCTCAGAGCATACATTTTAATCAACATACTGCTTGAAAAGCTACATTTAATGTATATTTAACAAATTATTTTGTCTGTTTAACAAAACTCAAGGAACATGAAGACACACACTTGATTAAAGGGAAACTTTTGTGCTTCCATTTGGGTTTCTACTGCCTCTAAGAAACCAAACAATAAAAAAACAACACCAAACTGTTTTTTGGCCATAAGTTCATGTTTTGAATGAGCAGTCTCAAAAAAACTCCAGCCAAATCCAGACTGTTACTTAGCAACTCAAGCTGAGCTTCAGCATGTTTGGTTAGCTGGATTTACCACTGTATTTTGTTACCAGAAACCACTTGCTGCATTCTTTTTGATTGTGCTGGACACTCTACTTCTGCTTTTCAAAGGTGTATGGTTGTATAATTGCTCATCTGTTTGAAGCCATTTGTACATAAGTGTTGAACCACAATAAATGGGACATTAACCAACATATTCAATCAGTATTGATGGTTTTAATGATGACACTTGAAATCTAATGCATGTTTTTGGTTTTCACAACTGTTGATGTGTTTGATGTTTTCTGGTTTGTATTTCACAATGTAAAGCACTTTGAACTGCCATGTTGATAAAATGTGCAATACAAATACTTCCGACATCCATCATGGCGCCTGGATGATTTAGTGACGTAGCTGAAAAGGGTCAACACACACAATATAACTCCTTTCTAAACATCCCACCCAAAAAAAGAAAAAAACAAAAAACCCATTTACCTCCACACACTGTGTGGGCATTCTGGCACGCTTGTCAAAAATCTGAAACTGGTACCAGCCTGGAGTGAGTGAGTGGTCGCAGATGATGTCCTGCGGTGCTGACTGCTGCAGGCTGCTGGAGCTGAAGGTGGTGCTGCGGTGGGGGTTCTGGAGAACCATGTGGCCGTCAGGCAAACACTCCGGTGGGAGCTCTGCAACGACAGCCAGAGACTCCCGGTAAACACCGGAGCTCTAATACTGCCAGAACATATGATGAAGTATTTATGGAAAACTTCTGACTATGGGGAAGCTTTAATGCACTGAGCAATAAAACATAACAGACAAAATATATTATTTTCTCTAATGGGGCTTAACATGAATATTCCTAGCTCATATAAAAAGAGGAATATTTGCTGGTAAAAGTTGTGACTGATCCTTTAGCAAAGAAGCAAATGAACTTGCTTCTTTGCTAAAAAGAAAAAAAAAACTTAGACAAAATAAATGATTTTGTAAGTCCGACATCACATTAAACCAACTTAATAAATTACGTTGGCTCAACTTAATTCTACACACAATCGAATAAATCAAACTGAAACAACAAATAAATGTTAATTACTGCAAATTAAACAAAAATAATTCACAATGTGCAAGAATAAACAGCTCTCACCAGTTATTTTCATTCACATTATGAAGTTAAAATAACAACGTATTTGACTTTAGAATAATTTTAATTCTTGTTTCAAACTGCATTAACAAAATTTCTGATAATTAAATTGATCAAACATCACAACAAATTCAAGCACATTTAGTGTGAACAGAAGATTAAAATAAACATTTGTCATAATAAAACACAAGAGTCAGATCAATGTAAGGCTCTTCCATTTCAGTATACAAAAACATGCCGCTAAGCATTCTGGGAAATAGTTCCTACTCCTGTCTTTTTCTTTTTTTCAATTATTTTAAGTGCTATCCTAAAAACCTTATGTAACTTAATAACAAGTTAACATAACTTACCGCTGTAAGTTTCTCTTCCACATTTGGGTTCAAATTTATTTGACTTAAAGAGCAAAAGGAAGTAGACACAACTAAATGCAGATCCAATGTTTTACAGTGAACCAGCAACAGGAAGTCTGAGAGACTACTTCCTGAAAGCTTCCTGACAGTGAAGGATCAAAAATTATTGGCTTCATCATAGATTGATGATGGGAGGCATGAAGGTGAAATGAGATGTTAAATAACATATTTTTGTAATATAAGTATAGATTTTAAAACAGCTGCAAAGTTTAGTACTCTGTTAAATGTGGATGCATGCAGAAAACTACACTTTAAAATAAGACAAAGCTACCCCATAAGTAACTTTTCAGGAATTCCTAATTGGCAGACAATTTGACTATGACATGGGAAAACTTTTATAAGTCAAATTAAACATAAAGTTACTTAAGATTTCGTGTTTTTGCGGAGAAGAAGTGAGAACCTGCCTGTCGGAGCCTGCATTGCGTTTGGTGGTAAAAATACGGCGCAGAGAAAAAGCCTGAGGAGAAAACGCGTCATTCTGTGTCCGCGTGACTATTACACCGACCAGCGCGAGCTCCGTGTTTGGATCAATAAAGTCACGAACTGCGTCGTGTTTTCTCCCCCACAATGTTTGTCTGTTTCAGTTGATTTGAATCCATTTGGTCCTGGAGAGCAGAAGCTGTCCGATGATTGGAGCAGGAGGGCTGCGAGTTAGGAGGAGCGTTGGTCCGCTCCCTGAAACAGAACCAGCTGTGCACAACACACACACACACACACACACACACACACACACACACACACACACACACACACACACACACACACACACACACACACACACACACACGCATTCATTCTCACATTTTCTCACACATATTTGTTAAACTTTTTATTTAAAACCTGTAAAATTAAGATTTTTTCCCCTTTTCTTCCTGTTATGTCGACCCAAATTTGCATCTAACATGCGCCAAAAATGTTAGGTTTTTAGCCGATTGCTTCTAGTCTTTAAACTACGGAAGAGGATAAGGGCCAGGGGGGAAAAGAAAAAGAATTCTGAGATTAACGTCTGAATTCTGTGAAGAAGTTTTATTCGTATTAAATAGTGTTCGTTTATGTATCATATAAATGTACACAGGAAAAATAGGAGAGTAATTTTTTAGGAGTTAACATTATTTCATCAAAAAGAGTCAAATTTATACATTAGAGAGTGAAATCATTTCAGTTGGTCAATAGAATCGGAGTAAAAAAATAGAGGAAATTATATCGGAGTAAAACAAGACCACGCCCACTGAAGTTCCTTAAGTTTCGTTTCTTCCGCCATCTTGTCATCCCGCAGTGGAAACGGAGGCGACGGTTAGCTATGTGCCAGGTAAGTCCCCAAACGTTTATATATATATATATATATATATATATATATATATATATATATATATATATATATATATATATATATATATATATATATATATTATATATATATAATTAAGACTAAAGGTGTGATAAAGTGCTGCTGTATGGTTGTGGGGGAAGGAGGGATGCAGCGAGGAATTAACATGGTTGGCTAACTAGTTAGCATGTGTACTTCAGCTATCTTAATTTAGCAGTTTACAGCAATGTAAGCAGAAAAAACATCAGTGCTGTCCAATGCTTCGTCCATTATTTTATTTTCACAAGTCGAGGCTGTCGCTATTTTTAAGCTGAGAGACTGAGCTGTACTGTCGGAGCTAGCTCTGCTAGCATGTGGAGTCAGTATTCCGCCCAGAAAAAAGCGCGAGAAGGCTATGCTAGTAACTTCTCTTGAAATTACTAGCATAGTATTATTTTAGTGAATCCTAGGGTTGCAGCTCGTAGAGCAACGATAAAATAAAAAAAAAAAAAACAGAATTCAAGTTGTGCTTTATATGCAAATTGTGTAAGTTGTCACGGTTGTCTTTGTTTTGACAACTTTAAAAACATTTGTCATTCACCTACTTTTAGGAGCATTATTACAATGCAGAAGATGGAAGTGGGTATTTGGCTTGGAGACTGAAGTTTGTACAGAGGGAAGCTTCTAATGGACAAAAAAATGTCCCCAGACTGTCACAAACCCAAACAGGTATATGTATTTATATTTGTACACATTTCATCCTGCAACCAAACTGCACAATAAGTTCCCAAGCCTTATTTATGAATCCTAACATGGAGTCTCACATATATATGTTTTTTTAGGGGGACCAACAACTGATAAGAGAGACTGTTTGAGAGAAGACTATCTTCTGACAGATCGCTTGTCTCTTCATCAGCTGTGTGCTTCATCAGTGCAATCACTGATGAAGCACACAGCTGATGAAGACTGTTATGAGGAACATGAAACAAACTTTCAACTCTCGTCAGAAGATGATTCATGACCCAGCGAAGTCATCTAGTATCTTTTTGGACTTCCCAAGATTCCTGGACATAGGAGGATTGGTATGTTTATTTTCACTTCAGTTTAACCAACAAAGTTTAAATAAGAAAACTTAACAAAATGATTTTTAAAACTTTCACTTCATCTATTCTCCAGGTTGAGCAAGATTTTATGTTGATGTTTGGGGAAGCCATCTCTGCAAAGTTCCCTGAGAAGTGGCCCACTGTCTACAAGCATAAAGTCCTCAAACAAAGCCGCAGTCTCACACAGTCTGATGACCTTCAGAACCTTCTTTACAATGCTGAAGGCACAACAGAAGTGGAAAATGGTAAGTTTGCAATTACTTATAAAGAAAGTGTTTTATGTAACAGAATTTTATTTGAATTGGTTCAATATAAGTGCACCTCCTCCTGCTGTTAGTTAGATTTGGTAAGCTTTCTCTAGAAGTATTAACATGGTTGCAAATAAGAAGTTTTGGTAACATGTTTCTTTAACTTTTTCTTCTAGGATGGGACAGTGACATGTCATCCATTTTGATCCTGGTGTACCTCCTGCCACAGTCACCTCCTGGATACAAGAGACCAGGAAAACTCTCAGCCAGACAAGTCAGTGAACATCTTGTGAAGTTTGTCAAGGTAAGGTTAGAGTAAAGGAAACATTTATGAAATTGGTCTTCAATTTCATTTCAAGTGACATTTAAGATATCCTGAAAAGTAATTTGCCTTATCTATTAGAACCCTGTCTTCTTTGAAACCTAAGACTAATAATGTTTTATTCTGTTTTTGCCACAGACAAGAACCAGCATCAAGGAGCACCTTGATGGCATCGCAGAGAGCTGTCAACCATACCTGCTTGCAGTAAGGACTCAGAGGAGCGTGATTTGATGAGCTTTTTAAAGCTCACTTTATGTTTGGCACTTCATTTGATCATGATCTGGTCAATGTGTACAAGAGACGGACCTCATGTTATTTATGTAGAGAGCTTTACTGTTCCAGAGCTTTTCATTTCGAGGTGTCATACAGTCATGAAGACGCAAATGTTTAAATTGTTCCATGCTGTTTTCTGTGAACAATAAAAAATGGCTGTCCAAATTCTGATTTCTGGTCTATGCATTGTACTCTTACAAACAGCTGTGTGTTATAGCTGTAAAACAATTGCTTCGTCAGTGAAATAGTTACATTTGGTACTACTTTAGAATTTAATTAAATGTTTAACTGCACAATATGGAATAAAATGAAATTAGGACTAAAATTTTATACTATATGGAATAAAATGTTATTCTAATTTATGTAAATTCATTTTTAATTAGATTAAAATTTATCTCTACTTAGAATAGAATGCAATGCTTTTTGGAGTAAATTATATTCTACTTGGAGTTAAAATACGGTAGAGTATTTTTTCTTTTAAACAACTTGGAGTAAATTCTCTTGGCATTGATTAAAATTTTTGCACTAAATTGTGTTGATTTTAATCTGTAATTTCAACTCTTCCATGAGAGTAAATTTTACTCTATTTAGACTGGGACCAAATGTTGTCTTTTTTAGAGTAAATTTTTTTTCAAATTGTGTAAAATTTACTCTGGAAATTTTACTGTGTAATGTTTTTTGTATCACAGTCAAGGTGTTTTTCTGTTTTTCTGTGTGTAATGAAACAAGATGTCTCTACTGAAATAAGTTTCCAGGGTTGCTGAACTTCCCCAGACAGTTATTTGGGAACTCGCTGTTTTTCCCGTGGCCTTCCCTGCATGGACATAGAGTGTTTAGTTTTCACATCCCATAGACATTACAGTGAATGAGTATACAAGGTTCCATATGTTTTCCTTTGTTTCTTTTGTTTGGTCTTAGAAGATTGAGTCTCCACCTTGGTAGTAAAGAGAGATGAATAAAGTAACTATGCAACTCTGAGTTCGTCAGAGCGGATCCTAATTTGTGCCTAATGCAGTGTATTTCTTGCTCTCTGTCTGCAGATGTATTAAAGATTGTTTTTGCTCCTTGACTTTTGTCTGGACCGCAGTTTCTGAATTGTGCACTTCACAATTCTGACATTTGAAATTAAAGTCAGAATTCTGACTTTTGAGAAAAAAGTAAACATTTTGAGATTAAAGTCAGAATGCATGCATTATCTATATGTAACCCATTTCATGCACAGCTGGCAGTGAATATCTATCTGAAAGCCGTTTTCTTGTGCTTTATTTTTATTTTGTAAATGCACAGATTTGTGGCAACAAAAGTTACCATTACTTAGTTTTACCTGTTTAAATATTTTCTTAAAACTTATTTCATTTCAGATTTTTACTTTTGACCTCATTTCCTTTGTACCTTCACTAAAAATACATGTATTACTTTTAGATTAGGATTTTAGTATTTGTTAATTGTATTATGTGACTTCTGTTTCATTCTTTTTGTGTGCAGCTTTTTAGTCATGTTGGAGTTTAAAGTTCTTTAGAACAAAATCAGGAATAGTAACTCCAAAGTTGCAGTTTAGATGCTGCATGTTAATTTCTGATATAAAAACCAAATAAATGAATTGCTTCCTGTGTTCTTCGTGTGATTTAAATCTTGTCACATTTTTAGACTCAGTTCAAACTTTACCATGAATGTAAAGACAATCAGCCAGGATATGTTTCTTTTCATGCATTTATTGATTCATTATTTTTTATTTCTGAAACAGAGAAAAATCCGTTACGGAGATCAATTCTAATTCTACAAACATCTGGATCAAACTAACCAAGATGCAATGATAAAATTATATCTGAGAGGAAATTTGATGAGAATAATACTCCATGACAGTCATTTTTTTAGGCTAATTGTTGCTTTTATCCACTCCATGTATTCACACACATCCATGATGGAAACTGCGCTCTGACATTCATTGACTGGTACACCAGGAGAAATCACACCATAAATCTTGCCGTTGAACATCACCCCTGAACCAGAGTCACCCTGTAGAAAAAATTATAATATATTTATTTATGTTGTAAAACAGAAAAGTTTTCTGATCACTGTATAGAGATACTGAATAAACAAACTTACATAACATGCATCCTTGTTTGGTGCTGCAGTAGAGAATACATGCCCATATGGCTTCAGGAGATGGGAACCCTCAACAACCTTCATGTCGACACACTGAAGCCCTCCTGCTCTAGCAGCTTTGGGTATTGTAGAGAAACATGAGAATCATAAACATGTTCTTCACTTGACCTTCTCGGTAGAGACAGAAACAAAGATTTTATTCTCATAACTTCAATATTTGTCTCACATGGCTTATTACTGGGGCGGATTGTCGTTTCTCCCTCTCCTGCCAGCTGAACGACATCATCTCTAAAATATAATTAGAATAAAATGTAAAAATACAAGATAGCAATGTAGAAAATTAATTGTTACAAAGAACAATGGAAGAACAGAACATAAATCCATGAAGGACTTCATGTACTGACACAGGAGTGTCCACCTCCAGTCCCCAGTTTAATTGTCCTTTGTCCTTTAAATGTGTCTCTGGTCCAACAAACCTGAGCTAAACTGCTGGCCTGATTACCTGACTCATGCATCAGAGGCAGCAGGACTGGAGAAGTGGAGACAGAAAATCTGGAGTCATGTTTTTGATCAGAAAAAGACTTACTTTTTAAGACGATTACTGCAGTCTGGAAGCGAAGCAGGTGTGACGCCTCTTGCTGGTTTCTGAAGCTTCAGCAACATGATGTCATGCTGCTTGCCTTCGGAAGCAAAAACCATAGGATGGCCTTCAATTCTGGGAGCATATGTTCTAGAAATCCCTGGATGAACTTTTAATGTTGCTGCTTTAATCCTGCAGAAAAGGTTAGATTATAATGCACACACACAAAACCTGATCATCTACAGATAAAACTGTGTTAATGCCTCTTTCCTACCACCGTGCCCCCGACTTCCAGCAGTGAGCTGCAGTCAGGATCCACTGAGGGTGGATCAGAGATCCTCCACATAGGATGGTATGAGTACGATTGTTGCCCGTTAGCCGAACGTGATAAAGACGCTCCGCAATACCACAGACATGACCTCCAATGATTCTCTTCTGCAGAGAAACATCTGAGTTCACTGAAACACCTGGAGATGAAAAAAGGAGGACGTTACTCAGAAACCAGGTGTAAACATGACTGCTGCGTCAGAAAAAGGATAAACAGTTAAAGATTAATAAGCATCACAGTTCATATGCAAAGAAGTTTCAATCTGAAACAGAATCAGAGGGAAGTTTGAGAATCACAGACAGCAGCAGCCTCCCTAGAACCAGTGGAAGTGTCTCCAGTTTCCCCAGTGTGTCCAGTGTTTCTGACTCACCCAGCCCCAGCAGCAGCAGAACCTTCAGCAGAGCCATTGCTGGTCCAGCTTCCTGTGAATGTCTGCAGTCCTGCAGCAGCTTTTAAACTCTGTTCACGACTTCCTGCTGGAAAGAAAGCCACCAATCACAGGACAGACACTGATCTGAACAGTGATCTGGACAGAGGAACTTTAACATTTCATCGTTCTAAAGAAACTAAAAAAGTTTTTGTTCCATTGTTCCATTGGACATTATCCAATCATTTCAACTTTCATAACTTAAATAATCAGCCAATGAAACAAGAACTTTTTCATCAGTCTTAAGGAATTGACATAAAACAAGGAGCTCCTATATGTAGAGCACCACAGTATTTAGCCACAGATGCCACCACAGTATTTAGTTTTTTTAAAATATAATTTTGAAATATTTTCAGATACAATTTATTCTATTTTCGCAAATAAATTAACAAATTACATTTTGTTTGCAGTTCATTTAAAGTGCTTTCCTGAGGTGGAACCTTTGTTTGGGGGTCGTTGCTTCCAGGTTGGTTTTGGGATGGACTTCCGATTTGCCCCAAACACAATCTGGAAGCTAAAGGCAGCGCTACCTATGTCATTGCTGACTCCTCTCTATTTGTCCTTCAGATGGTGTCATCACTGTTACAGCAGTCCTGACCCTCGGGACCTGTAACATGTATTTGGCTGCATAATTGCTTGTAAATTAGTTTTTCCTTATCTCAAGTGAACTGAGAGATTTACATTAGAGACTAGACAAAAAAATAATCAGTAAGTTTTCTGCTTTGGCAGTGGACAAGCGTCCAGTGGATTTTACTCAAGTGAAAACTTGATTGTAAACTTAATGAAATAAAACAGATTTTTTGGAGAAAGAGAGACTCTTGTTTTCAGGTTCATGGCTTTTTTTTTTTTTTAGAGAAAACTGGTTTCCAATCTACAAAAATTCACATCTGCCTTTGCTCCCGACAGTAGAATCAGTTTGTTTATTGATGAACTGTGAAAATGACCCCTCTTGAGAATAAATAATTCTGTGTTTTCCTCAATCTCTTTAACTATTTTCATGCTTGATTGCACATACATTCATTCATATAGATAACATGCTCACAAAAGCTAAAGCAAAAGGAAATGACATGTTAGTAAAAACCCTCAAAGCTAAAGCTAAAGGAAATAAGGGAAGACCCTCTTTATGGTGTAGATTAGATATAGTCTAACAAAGGGAATTACACACTTGTTTGATGCTAAAGATTAACAGTCTGTGATTTGACAAGAGATGTGATTACATATTCATCTGCTAATCAAAAAAGCATCTGTTTTATGTGACTAAAAGATTGGTGTAAAGTGGAGCTAATGTGCTGACAAAAATCCAGTTAAGGACAAACATAAATACAAAAAAACCCAGAAAAGAAGCCTGATGCTACATTGTGAAAAACAAAAAGAACAACGGAACTAAATGGCCTTTGTAAAAGAAACTATGAATCTTGAAATTTTATAGACAAGAAATGTTACAAGAAATTCATAAAGAACAGTCTGTTGTGGACAAAAGAACTTGAGTGAGCTGGTTTGAGCCCATCACTGAACAATTTATGTCACTCTATCTGTTCCATTTGGATTACGTGTAATATTTGTTAATTTTCTGCATTAAAAACTGGTTTATATTTAACCAAAGCTCATTATTTCTCAAGGCAGCGAGTCGGATCCTGAAACTGGTAAACGGAAAATCTGAAAATGACCCTTGTTGATAATAAATAATTCTGTTTTCCTCAATCTCTTTTAGCGATTCGGATGCTTGATTACACATAAATTCATTCACATAGATAACATGCTCACAAAAGCTAAAGCTAAAGGAAATGACATGTTAGTAAACACCCTCAAAGCTAAAGTTAAAGGAAATGCCTCGGTGCACCAATGAGTTGAATATTGGGAGTTTTTGCAGCTGATGAGTTGTGTCTCTCAGTGGTTAACCTCTGCTTTATCTAGCAAGACTGGAACAGGTAGATTCAGTCAGGCTGTCACCCTCCTTTCTTGCCAGGAGTATGTGGTTTGGGGAAAACTGCCATCCACTGCACCACTGACATTTGGGAACACTGTGATTATCGAGCCGTCATCTCCTCGTTCCACTCTCAAAAACATTTTAGTGGGTCGGGTAGTCACACCCATGTGGGAGGATTGTTGGCTCCCAATGGAGGTTTCAATCCAACAGACAAATCTCTGATACTGCGCCGAATGGAGGTTTCAATCCAACAGAAAATCTGTTCTGTGCGGCATGCTAAAATACTGCCTAAATCAGCGAACTCAACAAGCTCAGCCTATCACCGTTCTGATCCTGTACAGATGCTGAGACACAGTGGTCTACATGACATCAACATAAAGAGCTGTGAGATATCAGATGAGTTCAAGAGAAGGTCTTTTCTTAGATGGAGATGAAGGGTATCATAAGGAAGTCTTCACGAGTGAATATGCCTGTCCATTTGTTACGGTGTGGAAAAAGTCTGGGGACATGAGGCTATGCACTGACTGGTCTGTTACATTGTTGCAGTGAAAATATACTCTACTTTGTACTGGTACTGAATGTCCCTATGCTGTTTTCCATTTTGTGCAATTCTAGTGGGGTTAATGTAACCAAGTTGTATCTCTCTTTTTCTATAGTTGTACAAAGTGTCTTTCTTTTTTGGGTATTCATGTTGTTCCTTACCTGACTGAAACATCTTTAAGAAAACCTGTTTTCATTGTGTTGCTTTGGGACAGGAAGCCCCTCCATTTTTTCTGTGGTATTGTCTTTAAATTATTTGCACCCTTCGCACCCTCCCCTTTTGATCTTCAGTGAAGCCCAGAAGTTTTCAAGGTGTGCGAGAGCTAGCCTCCATGCTAGCCTCTCTCCTAGCTCTGTGCTAGCTTCCATCTTGACATCACGAACTTTTTTCCTGAGACAAACCTTTTCTATTTGATTATCAGTGAAAAACAATGTAACAATAAAGTATTTGACATATTTTGGCAATACTAACATCTTCTTACCTTTTCCAGATATTACAAAATTTACAGAGAATTTCTGTAATAAAAACAAAACAAAAACAAAAACAAAATTGCAATGTCTGAGCAGTTTTACATAAATGTGTAATTTACATTTTAATTTCAACAGTGAAAAAATATTTGTTCACTTCCTCCTTTATATTGTAGGCGATTTTTGTGTCAATGTTTAAGATTTTTTTCTTTATTGCATCTTTGTATAAGCCTATTAAAAGTGTTAAAATTTTACATTTTAATTAACAATGACACTTTGTTTAACTGCAGTAACGGAAAATTCTCCACAATAATTTTTGTTAAATTTGTGGCAACCAGAAGCTACAATTAACTGATTTTTTTTGTTGTTTTTTTTCTGACCTGTTTTTAAGTATTGTCTTAAAACTTATTTCATTCTGGATTTTTACTTTTGAACTCATTTCCTTTGTATCTTCATTAAAATATTTTTTAAATTATTTTTACATTAGGACTTTTTCATTTCTTGTCCTGTATGACTTCTCTTTCATTATTCATATTTCTTTGGTCTTGTTGGAGTTTAAAGTTCTTGAGAACTAAATCAGGAATAGTAACTCCAGAGCTGCAGAGTTTGTATGCTACATGTTCAGTTCTGATATAAAAGACAAAAACTGAATAAATAATTTATTTCCAGCTCTCCTCCTTATGTGATTTAAATCTTGTCGCATTTTCAGACTCAGTTCAGGGAAAATATCAACTGAACCAACTGAACCAGGAACGTAAAGACGACCAACCAGGAAATGTTTATTTTTTATGCATTTGATTTATTTGTAATTGCTGAGAAAGAGAAAGATCCACTAGGGAGCTCAAGGATAGATGAGAAAAACAAAGTTGTTGATTTATTCCAATTCTACAAACATGTGGATCAAACTGGTCAAGATGCAGTGATAAAATTAGATCTGAGAAGAAATTTGATGAGAATTATATTTCATGACAGTTTCTGTTTTATTCATTATGAATTGTAGATGTAATCCACTCCATGTATTTACACACATCTATGATGTAAGCTGGTCTGTGACATGCATAGTCTGGTACACCTGGAGAAATCACACCATAAATCTTGCCATTGAACATTGCTGCTGAACCATAGTCGCCCTGTAGAAACAGTTATATCAATATATTTATGTTGTAAAAAAGAAAAGTCTTCTAATCACTGCAGAGAGATATTGAAGAAACAAACTTACATAACATGCATCCTTGTTCAGTGCTGCTGCAGAGAATACATGCCCATATGTCACCAGGAAATGGGAAACCTCAACAACCTTCATGTCAACACACTGAAGATGTGTTGCAGGAGCATCACTAGGTACTGTAGAAAAACATAAAAATCAGACACATGCTGCTCATTTGACCTTCTTGGTGGAGACAGAAACAAAGATTTTATTTTCATAACTTCAAACTTTCTCACATCGCTCATTATTGGGGCCGGTTGTCATTGCTCCCTCTCCTGCCAGTTGAACAACATCGTCTCTAAAATACAGTAAGAACATTTAAAAATACAAGATATTCTAGGCGATTTTTATGTCAATGTTTAAGATTTTTTTCTTTATTGCATCTTTGTATAAGCCTATAAAAAGTGTTAAAATTTTACATTTTAATTAATAATTACACTTTGTTTAACTGCAGTAACGGAAAAGTCTCCACAATAATTTTTGTTAAATTTGTGGCAACCAGAAGCTACAATTACCTGATTTTTTTTTGTTTTGTTTTGTTTTCTGACCTGTTTTTAAGTATTGTCTTAAAACTTATTTCATTCTGGATTTTTACTTTTGAACTCATTTCCTTTGTATCTTCATTAAAATATTTTTTAAAATTATTTTTACATTAGGACTTTGTCATTTGTTATGAAGAACAATGGAAGAACAGAAAATAAATCCATGAAGGACTTCATACACTGACACAAGAGTGTCCACCTCCAGTCCCCAGTTTCATTGTTCTGCATCCTTTAAATGTTTCTCTGGTCCAACACACCTGAGCTAAACTGTTGGCCTGATTACCTGAGTCAGGTGTGCTGAAGCAGAGGCAGCAGGACTGGAGAATTGGAGACAGAAAGTCTGGAGTCATGTCTTTTATCAGAAAAACACTTACTTTCTAAGATGATAACTGCAGTCTGGTAACTGAGCAAGTGGGACATCTTTTACTTTTCGTTGAAGCCTCAACAACATGATGTCATGCTGCCAGCCTTCGGGAGTATAAGCCACAGGCACGTTGGGGAGACTGATAATCTTCTGTCTAGCAGTCAGTGGGTGAACTCTCAACTTTGCGATTTTAATCCTGCAGAAAAGGTTAAATTATAATAAATAGACAAAAAACATGATCATCTGCAGATAAAACTGTGCCTCTTTCCTACCATCCTGGCTCTGACTTCCAGCAGGCATCTGTAGTCAGGACCCACCCAGAGTGGATCAGAGATCCTCCACAAAAGTATTTATTGGTACCATTGAAGCCCTCCAGCCGAACGTGAAAAAGACGCTCCGTGTCAGCACAATTATGACCACCAATGATTCTCTTCTGCAGAGAAACATCTGAGTTCACTGAAACACCTGAAGGAAAAGGAGGACTTTACTTAGAAATCAGGTGTAAACATGTCTGCTGGATCAGAAAAAGGATAAACAGTGAAAGATTAAAAAGCATCACAGTTCATATGCACAGAAGTTTCAATCTGAAATAGAAGTTTGAGAATCACAGAGAGCAGCAGCCTCCTTGAAACCATTGGAAGTCTCTCCAGTTTCTCGACTCCAGTGTGTCCAGTGTTTCTGACTCACCCAGCCCCAGCAGCAGCAGAATCTTCAGCAGAGCCATTGGTGGTCCACCTTCCTGTGAATGTCTGCGGTAATGCAGAAGTTTTTAAATTCTGTTCACAACTTCCTGCTGGAAAGAAAGCCACCAATCACAGGACAGACACTGATCTGCACTGTCACTGGACAGAAGAACTTTAACATTTCATCATTCTAAAGAAACTTGAAAAAAGTTGTTCCACTGACAAATTATTTTACTAATGTCCAAACATTTCCCCTCTCATAACATAAATAATCAGCCAATGATACAAGAATATTAACATGAAGGAATTGACTTAAAAAAAGAAAATCCTAAATTTGGCTATAAAATATTTGGTAAGTTTTTTCTTATCTTACATGAACTGAGAAATTTACATTTGAAACTAGCCAAAAAATAATCAGTATATTTTCTACGTATGCAGTGCACAAGCTTCCAGTGAGTTTTGCTCAAGTTAAAACTTGATTGTAAATATGATGAAATAAAATTAATATATTTAACCAAATCTCTTTTTTTCTAAAGGTAATGACGCTAGGGTTTCAGTCGGGTCCTGAAACTGGTAAACAGACCTGGGTGTTGCAAAGAGGAGAAAATGGGTGAACTACAACAAGTTTTGTCTTGGTTAGTAATTCTGGCAAGCTTTATGAACTCCACATATCTTTATCAATACAAGGATGCAAAATTGTTCATTTTAGAAAGGTGTTTTTTAAATTTGTGTTCAGCTAATTAAGATTAGAGAGAAATCCAGATTTTAAAAAGAACACATTATCTGTTATTTACATTTAATATATATTTGGAACATTGTTTTTTCTTTTCATTGTTCCCACATGTTTCTTTTCAGTTATTTGGATGCAGTATGATCCAAATAACTTAAATTATATTATTTTGTTAAATTGTAATTTCTGAGACTTTTACATAATAAGCAAGTTAAATAGATTTGAATTTCAACAGTGAAAGCAAATATTTTTTAACTTCTTCCTTTACATTGCAGGTGTTTTTTACGTAAATGTTTTGAAGATGATTCTTTTTTATGCTTTGTGTAGGCCTATAAAAAGTGTTAAAAGTAAAAATTGACAATGACACTTTGATTAACTGCAGTAAAAGAAAATTATCTACAAAATTTTTATGTTAAATTTCTGCCAACAAGAAGTTACCATAAATTGAATTTACCTGTTTTTATTTTCTTAAAACTTATTTCATTCCAGACTTTGACTTTTGACCTCATGTCCTCTGTATCTTCATTAAAAATATAATGTCTTAAATTTATATTAGGATTTTGTCATTTGTTTGTTGTATTGTTATTTCAGTTTAATTATTTTTGTGCACATCTCTTTGGTCTTTTTGGAGTTTAAAATTCTCCATATCAAGAATAGTAACTCTAGAGCTGCAGAGTTTAGATACTGGATGCTCATTTCTCATCTAAAAGACAAAAACAGAATAAATAAATTTCTTCTGGTTTTCCTTTTTATGAGATTTAATTCTTGTCACATTTTCAGACTCAGTTCAGGGAAAATATCAACTGAACAAACTTTACGATGAATGTAAAGACAATCAGCCAGGAAATGTTTATTGTTCATTCATTTATTGATTCATTTTTCATTTTTGAGACAGAGAAGGATCCATTAGGAAGATCAAGGACGGATGACAAAAAAATCAAAGCTATTGACTTATTCTAATTCTATAAACATGTGAATTAAACTGATTAAAATGCAAAGATAAAATTATATCGGAGAGAAAATTTGATGAGAATTACATTTCATGACATTTTATGTTTTATTTATGGGCAATTGTTGTTTTTATCCATCCAATGTATTCACACACATCCATGATGGAAACTGGTTTCTTACATGCATAGTGTGAGGTATCAACAGAAATTACACCATAAACCATGTCGTTGAACACCACTGCTGAACCATTGTCGCCCTGAAGAAAAAAATTATATCCATGTTAAAATCAGGAAAGTCTTCTAATCACTGTAGAGAGATACTGAAGAGACAAACTTACATAACATGCATCCTTGTTCGGTTCTGCAGCACGGAATATATACCCAAATGACCGGGATTGGGAAATCAGAACAACTTTCATGTCAACACACTGAAGATGTTTTGCCATACGACCAGAACGTACTGTAGAGAAACATGAGAATCAAACACATGTTCTTCATTCGACCTTCTCAGTAGAGACAAAAACAGATTTTATTCTTATAACTTCAATATTTCTCTCACATCGCCGATCATTGGGGCCGGTTGTAGTTTCTCCCTCTCCTGCCAGCTGAACAGTATCACCACTGAAACACAATTAGAATAAAATGTAAAAATACAAGCTGACAATGTAGAAAAAATATTTTTATGAAGGACAATGGAAGAACAGAAAATAAATCTATGAAGGACTTCATGCACTGACACAGGAGTTTCCACCTCCAGTCTCGATTTTCTTTGTCCTTTGTCCTTTAAATGTGTCTCTGGTCCAACACACCTGAGCTAAACTGTTGACCTGATTACCTGACTCAGGTGTGCTGAAGCAGAGGCAGCAGGACTGGAGACAGAAAATCTGAAGTCATGTTTTTGATCAGAGAAAGACTTACATTTTAAGACGTTTACTGCAGTCTGGAAGCTTAGCAACTGGTACATCTGTCACTGGTTTCTGAAGCTTTAGTAACATGATGTCATGCTTCCGGCTGTCTTCACGATACAGCACAGGAGGTTGTACAATTATTTGCAAATTTTCTTGAGCAGTCTTTGGATGAACTTTTAAGAATGCTACATTATTCCTGCAGCGAAAAAATTAGATTATAATGAACACATAGAAAACCTGATCATCTGCAGATAAAACTGTGTTGATCTCTCTTTGCTACCTTGGCCCCAACTCCCAGCAGCTTGCTGCAGTCAGGATCCACTGAGGGTGGATCAGAGATCCTCCGCAGATGGTCGTTGACTTCTCATTGGTTATTGCCATCCGAACGTGATAAAGACGCTCCGTGTCAACACAGTTTTGACCGCCAATGATTCTCTTCTGCAGAGAAACAGCTGAGTTCACTGAAACACCTATCGAAGAAAAAAGGAAGACGATACTCAGAAACCAGGTGCAAATCGATCAGAAAAAAGATAAACAGTTAAAGATTAATAAGCATCACAGTTCATATGCAAAGAAGTTTAATCTGAAAAAGAAGTTTGAGAATCACAGAGAGCATCAACCTCCCTGGAACCAGTGGAAGTGTCTCCAGTTTACCCAGTGTGTCCAGTGTTTCTGACTCACCCAGCCCCAGCAGCAGCACAATCTTCATCAGAGCCATTGCTGGTCCACCTTCCTGTGAATGTCTGCAGTAATGCAAATGAGTTCTTACAAATGAGTTTTTAAACTCTGTTCACAACTTCCTGCTGGAAAGAAAGCCACCAATCACAGGACAGACACTGATCTACACTGTAACTGGACAGAGTAACTGTAACATTTCGTCGTTCTAAAGACACTTTAAAAAAGTTTTTGTTACACTGACAAATTATTTCACTAATGTCCAAACATTTCCCGTCTTATAAATTAAATTATCAGTCAATGAAACAAGAACTTTTTCATCAATATTAAGGAATTGACTTAAAACAAGCAGATCCTATATTTGACTGCAAAGCTGTTTGTAAGTTTTTTCTTATCTCAAATGAAGTGAGAGATTTACAGTGGGTTTTGCTCAAGTGAAAACTTGATTGTAAACTTGATTAAATAAAACTGATTTTCTGGAGGAAGAGAAACTCTTGTTTTCAGGTTGATATATATGTATATTTTTAGAGAAAAATGTTTAGTTTCCAATCTACAAAAATTAACATCTGCCTTTGCTCCTGAACGTAGAATCAGTTTGTTTTTGATGAGCTTTGAAAATGACCCCAGTTAAGAATAAATAATTATGTTTTCCTCATTCTCTTTTGAGCTATTTGCATGCTTGATTACACATACATTCATTCACATCGATCAGAAAAGAATCCCTGATCCTACATTGTGAAAAACAAAAACAACAATGGAACTAAATGGCCTTCGTAAAAGAAACTATGAATCTTTTGATTTTACTGATAGGAAATCTTACAAGAAATTCTTAACGAAGACTCTGTTATGGACAAAATGACTTTTTGTCTTTGCTGTATCTGTTTTATCTACACACATGCACACGGCTGCATGCTGATGTAAGCATAACATTTAAGACTGAAAAAAGTCACACATAAAAGCTGATGAAGGAAGGCCAAGACCTTAGAGAGGAAGCAGAATGAGGAGAAATCAAGCAGAACTCATGCTACAATCTTTGCTTCGCTTAGTGTTACCTCTGTGCACTGAGTGGATCCCAGCACTGCATGATGAACATCACTCTCTACTTGTTCCATTTGGATGACGTATAACATTTGATCCTTTTCTGCATTAAAGCCTGTTTTATATTTAACCAAAACTCATTATTTCTCCAGGTAATGACACTATGTTTTCAGTCGGGTCCTGAAACTGGTAAACGGACCTGGGTGGTACACAGAGGGGAAAATGGGTGAACTACAACAATTTTTGTCTTGGTTAGTGATTCTGGCAAGCTTTATTAACTCAACATATCTTCATCAATACAAAGATGCAACACTGTTCATTTTAAAATGAGCTGTTATTTACATTTAATATATAATTGGAGCATTGTTTTTTTAAAAAAGCAAAAAGCCTCAAAAGACTTGAAATTCCTAGTTTCAGACATGAGACTTGAGTTGGTCCTACTGCTGTATTAAAATAATGTTAAATATGTTGTACTGGTCCTTTACCTGTTGTGAGCTGCTGCATAAATGTAATGTAAACATATGACGTATTAAAACGTTTTATTTGTTTCACTGTCTGCAGCCTTGCAGTAGAATTCATTACAATATGGCACATGAAATCATTTAAAAATTTTTTAATATTTCAAATATGTCCTGAACTCACATGCTTTGTGTACAAAACGTCACAGAAACTAAGTTTACTCTCCCTACCTGCTAATAAAAAAAACCACCCAATTTATGTGGCTAAAAGTTAGTTTGGTGTAAAGTGGAGCAAATGTGCTAACAGACATCAAGTGAAGGACAAACATACATTAAAAAAAATAAAAAAGCCCTTTTGCTACATTGTGAAAAACAAAATCACTAATGGAATTAAAATATCCTTTGTAAAAGATACTATGAAACTTGTGATTTGATAAGAAATGTTACAAGAAATTCATAAGGAACACTTTGTTATGGACAAAATGACTCTGTCTTTTCTCTATGTTTTATCTGCTGACATACACACAGCTGCACGCTGACATAACCATAACATTAGCCAGTTAGTATCTCAGACCATGCATCATTCATGACCCATTTCATGCATAGCAGATGGTGGACATCTATCAAAAGCCATTTTCTTGTGTTTATATGGATTTTTATTTTGTAAATGGATACAAACCACTGACGCGGACACTAGTGCATTTTTAACTACTGCCCATTCACTGCAAGTGTAAGAAAACTTTGTTAAATCCAATATGGTAGACAAATGAAAAAGCATACTACCAACAGTCCCGAAATAGGATTTATTTCTTTATGGAAATGCATATATGAGGACAAGGAAAGACAATATATATTTTTATGCTTTTGTTTTTTATTATGCCAGTTGTGGTCCTTCATAATTTGTGAACAAACCCAGATACAGCGATTACACCATATTGTAGAAAGTTAACACAGCAATCAAACTATCAAGGTGATTCTTTGCACTTCCTAATTCAATCCTAAATGTAATATTTATTTATTTATTTTATTGGTTGAATGCTTTAAATTAAATTTAATAACATTGTCATTCTCAATAGATTACTGCTACAGTTTCAGATCTACAATCTATGTTACAGTTTAACCATTTTTAGGGGTCCTGAATGTCTTGAGTGCCCTACCAGCAGCTACTGAGTTTTCTTTGTCTTTACATCTCAACCTTACAACTATAGATCTATCAGAGATAGATCTAGAGTCTAGAACATAGAAAAACAATGTAGAGTTAACCCCTCTGAGCTTTTGGATCTTTAAAGCAGTCTGCAGCCAAGCTGTTGTGTAGGTTCAACAGTCAGATATGATCAGGGTTTATTTAGTAAAATAGCAGCTAATTTGCTTCTTTCATAACTTCATAACCAGCGATTTTCTCTCCTCGTTTAACAGTTTCAGTCTCAGATCAATTCAGCCCTCCAGGACTGTCAGCAGCAGAAACAGCAACATATACCTATCAGAGAAACAGATTTCGTTTGCTTTGAATTGTCCCCACATGGTGACAATGATGCAGTATGATCCAATTAACTCTTAGATTCTTGAATATGGGTTGTTGTTATGTTTTTACATGATGTTTTAAGATCTTGTTCAATGTGCCCCATTTTAACATTGTGCCCACCCAACCCCCCTTAAAGGTTTCTGCACTGACCTGAGGCAAATCTTTTCTGTTTAATTTGATGCAATATTATCAGTGAAACACATTGTAACAAAAAAGTCTTAAACAACTTATTTTAGCAGCACTAAAATCTTTTTGTTCTCCAGATTTTACTATAAAATTTCTAGAGAACTTCTGTCAAAAAAAATTTTGAAAAGTAAATTATAATTTTTGAGAGTTTTATATAATAAACAAGTAAAATAGATTTTAATTTCAACATTGAAAGCAAATATTTTTTAACTTCTTCCTTTACATTGCAGGTGTTTTTTACGTAAATGTTTTGAAGATGATTTTTTTATTGCTTTGTGTAGGCCTAAAAAAAGTGTTAAAATTAAAAATTGACAGTGACACTTTGATTAACTGCAGTAAAAGAAAATTATCTACAAAATTTTATGTTAAATTTCTGCCAACAAGAAGTTACCATAAATTGAATTTACCTGTTTTTATTTTCTTAAAACTTATTTCATTCCAGACTTTGACTTTTGACCTCATGTCCTCTGTATCTTCATTAAAAATATAAGTCTATTAAATTTATATTAGGATTTTGTCATTTGTTTGTTGTATTGTTATTTCAGTTTAATTATTTTTGTGCACATCTCTTTGGTCTTTTTGGAGTTTAAAATTCTCCATATCAAGAATAGTAACTAGAGCTGCAGAGTTTAGATACTGGATGCTCATTTCTCATCTAAAAGACAAAAACAGAATAAATAAATTCTTCTGGTTTTCCTTTTCATGAGATTTAATTCTTGTCACATTTTCAGACTCAGTTCAGGGAAAATATCAATTGAACAAACTTTATGATGAATGTAAAGACAATCAGCCAGAAAATGTTATTGTTCATTCATTTATTGATTAATTTTTCATTTTTGAGACAGAGAAGGATCCATTAGGAAGATCAAGGATAAATGAGAAAAAAAACTATTAATTTATTCTAATTCTACAAACATGTGAATCAAACTGATTAAAATGCAAAGATAAAATTATATCGGAGAGGAAATTTTATGAGAATTACATTTCATGACATTTTATGTTTTATTTATGGGCAATTGTTGTTTTTATCCATCCAATGTATTCACACACATCCATGATGGAAGCTGGTTTCTTACATGCATAGTGTGAGGTTTCAACAGAAATCACACCATAAACCATGTCGTTGAACACCACTGCTGAACCATAGTCGCCCTGAAAAATAATTATATCCATGTTGTAAACAGGAAAGACTTCTAATCACTGTAGAGAGTTACTGAAGAGACAAACTTACATAACATGCATCCTTGTTCGGTTCTTCACACGGAATATGTGCCCAAATGACCGGGATTGGGAAACCAGACAACTTTCATGTCAACACACTGAAGATTTTTGCAATACGACCAGAACGTACTGTAGAGAAACATGAGAATCAAACACATGTTCTTCATTCGACCTTCTCAGTAGAGACAAAAACAGATTTTATTCTTATAACTTCAATATTTCTCTCACATCGCCGATCATTGGGGCCGGTTGTAGTGTCTCCCTCTCCTGCCAGCTGTACAGTATCACCACTGAAACACAATTAGAAAAAAATGTAAAAATACAAGCTGATGTAGAAAAAATATTTTTATGAAGGACAATGGAAGAACAGAAAATAATCTATGAAGGACTTCATGCACTGACACAGGAGTGTCCACCTCCAGTCTCGATTTTTTTGTCCTTTGTCCTTTAAATGTGTCTCTGGTCCAACACATCTGAGCTAAACTGTTGGCCTGATTACCTGACTCAGGTGTGCTGAAGAGAGGCAGCAGGACTGGAGACAGAAAATCTGAAGTCATGTTTTTGATCAGAGAAAGACTTACATTTTAAGACGTTTACTGCAGTCTGGAAGCTTAGCAACTGGGACATCTGTCACTGGTGTCGGAAGCTTTAGCAACATGATCTCATGCTGCCGGCTGTCTTCACGATACAGCACAGGAGGTTGTACAATTACTTGAGAAGTTCCTTGAGCAGTCTTGGATGAACTTTTAAGAATGCTACAGTATTTCTGCAGATAAAAAAATTATTTTAATGAACACATAGAAAACCTGATCATCTG